AGTTTAATATATCATACTAGGGGCCGGGTGCATGGATTCATGCACCAGTGGGGTCCCTCGTCTGGTGTGCAGGGATCAGGTTGGCTCTCCGACATCCCCTGAGGGGTCCTGGATTGAGAGAGGATGGTTCTCGGGTGACCCGGAATCAGGCTCCCTCCTCTCTGGTTCCGGGTGCATCACTTGAGTGCGGCAGCTGCCAAGTCACCACAACTCAGCAGCTCCTGCGTTGAGTGTCTGCCCCCTTGGTGGTCAGTGTGTGTCAGCTACTGGTTGGACAGTCAAACAGCTTGGGCTTTTATATTTATAGATTAAAAGGGAAAACTACAGTAGGATGAGTAGGGGGCCTCGAGTAATCAGGAAACAAAATTTCAGGGGAATAAATTCTACAGGCTCCAAAGGGACACTGAAAGGCTCGATGCCTGGGCATTTACACAAAGGAGAAAACAACCTTATAAGAGCAATTAATTATGAGCTTTAAAAAGTGACAATGACTCCTTTTAATTTTGCTGCTTAATTGGGGCTTTAAAAATAGCTTCTAGTTAATGGGCCTGTCAATATTCTCTTGGGAAACAATTTCCCTGAATTAACAAATCAACTATAATACTTAGAATGTCTGCTTTAAAATATCTTTCTCTTTATTGCTATTTTAATGAACCAACTTGGTGGGTCATATATATGTCTGTTGAATATCTTAATGGCTGGTTTAAAGATATTCTTACTTTGCCCCTCCCAGTTCTCCAGGAAAGGGCCTTTGGGTTATGAGAATGTTCTATACTGCTTTATTACCTGAAAAGGGGGTGGTAAAATGGACCTTGACATTTGTTTTATTTTAGATTAGTTACAGAAAAGTTGTAATGATATTATGAAGAATTCTCATCCAGTTTCCCCTAATATTTTCTATTTTACAATAGCATAGTACATTTGTCACAATGGGCTAATGCATACATTATTAACTAACGTCCATACTTTATTCTGATTTTTTTAGTTTTCATCTAATATCCTTTCTCTGTTCCAGGATCCCATTAAAAATACAATTAGTCATCATGTCTCTGTAGGTACCTCTTTGCTGTGACAACTTCTTAGACTTTCCTTGTTTTGTTGTGTGTTTTTGTTTTGTTTTGGTGTGTTTTTTTGGTGGCGGGGGGTGATGACCCGAGTTTTGAGTCAGGTATTTTGTAGAAAGTCCTTCAGTTAAGATTGAGTTTTTCTCATGATTAGATTGGGGCTAAGAGAAGAAGACCACAGAAGTAAAATACCATTCTCACCATAGAATCAAGAATACATAATATCAGCATGATTTATTACTATCTAGAAAAATTATGTTTGTATGTTTTTATTGATTTGGGGGGGGTGGGGAGAAGCTCAATGGGCTGCCTTGAGCCTACAACCCAGGCATGTGTCCTGACTGGGAATTGAATTGGAGACCTCTTTTTTTTTTTTCTCTCTCTTTTTAAAATATATTTTATTGTTTTTTTTGGTTTTATTTTTGTTGTTTTTTACAGAGAGGAAGGAAGAGGGAGTCATCAATCAGCTGCCTCTTGCACACTCCCTACTGGTGATATGTCTGCAACCAAGGTATATGCCCTTGACCGAAATCGAACCTGGGACCCTTGAGCCAGCAGGCCGATGCTCTATCCACTGAGCCAAACTGGTTAGGGTGAACTGGAGACCTCTTGATGCATTGGACAACATTTCACCAACCAAACCACACTGGCCATAGGGTGATTTATTACTGTTTATCTTAGCCTTGATCACCTGGCTTGGGTCTTATTTGCCAGTTTTATCCATTGTAAAATTCCTCTCTATCCAATACTGCACTCTGCCATGAAAATCACCATGTGCAGCCTATACTTAAGGAAAGGGGAGTTTTGCTCTCCTTGGAATTTTTCAGAAACTGGTCTTTTCTTCACCATTTATTCAACTTATTTATATCAGTATGGACTCATGGTTATTTACTGTATACTTGGGGAAATAATCCAATATTTTATTTTGTACAGATTGTTCCAGCTTTGACCATTGGGAGCACTTTCAGTTCACTCCTGTGTCCCATCAATATGCCCCATTATTGTGGGGTTATTGTTATTTTTTTTTTTAAGTACTTCTCAGTTTATGGGACTATAAAATGCTCCAGGCTCATCTTATATATTTCCTATCTCAATCCCAGAGTCAACCATTTATTTTATGGGCCTGGTTCCTTTATTATTGTATAATATTAAGGAACTAAGATCTGGCTGCTCATGGTAGAACTATGAAAATATGTATATATACCAGGATCCATAGTTCATTGCTCCCTATATTCTATATCCCTCCATTTTTAATATGCAGTGCATTTTGTCCCATTGTCATTGTTTATTCTCTTTCATCTGGAAGAGAGCCTCTTGCCTTTTATAGTGAACGCTGTAGACCCCAAGTAACTGATTGTTTTTACCCTCAGAGCTCACAATAGAGGATGGGAATGGGAAATTTTTTCAATCAGCTGCTGGTCAAAGGGAGGACCAATCCCAGGCCTTAGTATCCTAATGAGCCTAAAGAAGAATGGAGATGCCATCAAGAAACAGTTTCTTGGGTTAGAATCTTGGCTTCACCAATGTGGCAGGTGGAACTTTTTGTCCTTCTCAGTTGTGATTCTCTAGAGGAGAGCTCAAAGGGGTTAACTAATGTTGTATATGCCAGCCGTTCCAGGCAGTTATGGGTTGGACATGAGGCAATGAAAAGGATAATGAAAGGACAGAATAAAGAAGTTCTGTCCCAGCCTATACTACTACACCCATGGCATTCTATCCTTTCCTGCACTGGCCTTCTAGTTCTTGCTCCTGTAGCACCCAATCATAATCTGTTTTCTTGCCAAAACCAGTTTGGCTCAGTGGATAGAGCGTTGGCTTGGGGACTGAAGGGACCCGGGTTCAATTCCGGTCAAGGGCATGTACCTTGGTTGCGGGCATATCCCCAGTAGGGGGTGTGCAAGAGGCAGCTTATCGATGACTCTCGTCGATGTTTCTAACTATCTCTCTCCCTTCCTCTCTGTAAAAAAATCAATAAAATATATATATATATATTTTTTTTTAAATATATATTTTATTGATTTTTTTACAGAGAGGAAAGGAGAGAGATAGAGAGCTAGAAACGCCGATGAGAGAGAAACATCGACCAGCTGCCTCCTGCACACCTCCTGCTGGGGATGTGCCCGCAACCAATGTACATGCCCTTGACTGGAATCGAACCTGGGACCTTTCAGTCCGCAGACCAATGCTCTACCACTGAGCCAAACCAGCTTCGGCAAAATATATATATATTTTAAAATAATCTGTTTTCTTCAAGGAACTCTTCATATTAAATTTCTCAGGTTCCTAAACCCCCTCTTTGTAAGATAGCTACATGGGTGAGATTGAGAAAGAGAAAGCCTATAATTCATCTTTTCAGAAGACTGGTCATTTAACTACTACCCTTTGGTGGCTTTTATCAACTGAATCCTATGTTAGATAGTGGGGGTAGGTGGTGAACAAGACACTGTCCCTGCTTAACATGGGCTGTCAAATCTAGCCCATAACTTTCTCACCTCATCTAGCACCTTCAGATTCTCTTCTGGTCACGCTGGTTTCTTAGTTTTTGATAGGCCTTTTGTGACTATGTCTCTCTCTCTGCACATACAGTTTCTCTTTCTGGTTCTATTTTCCTTCTCTACTTTGAAATCTTAGCTCAGATTGCACTTCTGCAGAGAAGCCACTTTGCCCATTATATGTGTCATCACAGCTAGAGTCAGATGCCATGTAAGAGTCCTTTGAAAAGGCGTTTACCATCTTCTAAAGGTTTATCTCCCATCTAACTAAGCAGCCTTGGTTCTATTGACAGCTAACTAAAGAGCCTCAGCTGGTAATATTAATATTTATGTATTATATTGTACCCTAGAGTAAGGCCATAGGAATATCCTGTGTTTTTTTTTTTTTAAATAATACCCAAGTAAGAGTAATGAGATTGCTAATTTTCTTTAAAATTTTTTAAAACAAAGGTGTCAGATTTCCAAATCATTTCATAGTGGACATTAAAAGATAGAATAGAATGTAAAACTATTTGAAATTAAATTTAGCTTCAAAAAGTACTTAATGAAAATAATGGGTTTGCAAAGGATTTGTTCAAATTTTATCTAAAATATGTGGGCTTTTGTGTATATTGGGGGGGGTAATCTGAAATGTCTTCATTTATGAAAATTTATGAAATGTCTTCATTTATGAAAATTTGTGAAACATCTTTGGGTATAAGTTATAACTGACAAGGAGATGCCAAGATAAAACTTGGAACCAGACTTATATGGATAATTTTAACATGTTTACTCTGGGACTTTATAAAAATGAATAATCTTTGAAACTATGCTTTTGTCATTTTAGGATTTTTTTAATGTAAATATTCTTCAGGATAAGTGGCAACATAGAATATTGATAACATTTACTGCACATTGACTATGTTGCAGAACTGCTAATAAACTCATTCTGCACATCTTTTCATCTTCTCAACAGCCTCACAAGGTAACACAGTTGGTGGATCCAGGAACCTGTGTGTTCAGTGATTCTCCAAACATGGCAATTGGCTTGGGACTTTCAGGTATAGTGCTCCCAGGTCTTTACAACTAACGCTCATAAATATCTACTTGTCTTTGTTGTCATCAACTCATTCAGACTAGCATTTTTCAGTGTCTGCTGAAATGTCTGTCTTCTAGAGTCTTTACACGTATTACAAATGCCAAAGACCTTTTTTCAGGACATTAACATCTTAGCTACTCTTGCTTGAGGACAATTCATTTTGCTCTTAACATACACAGAACCTATACAGACATACCCTTTAACCTTTAAAAGGAGTCCCTATCTACTTTATTCTTTTTCTTATATCGATACATACCATCCATGAGCCACATACCCATGAGTCTCAGGTTTATAAAAATGTCTCTGGGGGAGGGAGGGGCAGTGGTAGATATGTACACAGATAATAATTAAATAAAAAGAAAGAAAAAGAATGTCTCTCTGGGGAGTCTGAATGGGTCACACATCCCCATTCCTATATTTGGCCTATGAAAGGGCCTATCGATTCCTATTCCTTAAGGTCTTACTAGTATTTAAGAGGATAGTGAAGTTGGGTTCCCTTTGTAATTTCACAAATATACCTGCTAGATTAAGGGATAAAAAACTTTAATAGGTACACATTACAAACAAATCATTATGTAATACAACACAAGTCATTTCTAGATTATTTAAGAATACATTGAGGATATTTGCAATTAATCTAAAAAATTACATGATCTCCCTATAATGCTAACATAGCATTTGCTGAAGTTGCTAAGAGTGAAGATTTCTAGCCTATCTTTCCCCAAATGCCTGAAATGATTAATAGGGAAATTCTAGAAGTGTTCCTTTTGGAGGGAAAAAGCTTTGTTCAAAGATAAGAAAACAAATGTATGGAGGGGGGGGTAAAAATCCTTTGTAGGTGGTGAATTTTCGTAAATGTATGAGTGTAAATTAGAAATAATTCATTCAACTAGCAAGTAAGCATTTTTTTTATTGATTTTTTTTTTATAGAGAGGGAGAGAGAGAGAGTGTGTTAGAAACATGGATGAGAGAGAGACATCGATCAGCTGCCTCTTGCACACCTCCTTCTGGGAATTTGCCCGCAACCAAGGTACATTCAATGTGCCCTTGACCAGAATCGAACCTGGAACCTTTCAGTCCGCAGGCCAACCTCTATCCACTGAGCCAAACCGGTTTTGGCTAGCAAGTAAGCATTTTGAAGATAAACAGAGAAAAATGAAAGTTGGAATAGTATGGAGATGTGTATAAGTGACATATGAATAAAACATTAAAATAATGACAAGTGAGATCTTAAATGGTAAGCTATACCATGCCCAAGAAATCTTAGCATAAGTAACATAATTTTTGGAACTAATCCAGTTGATTCTAACATGCATTTTGAAAACTAATATTGTGGAAAATGAATCAAAGGTAAACTAGCCATAACCCATGTGAAAACTGCAAGAAGAATAAAATGAGGTGGTATTGAAATGTAAGTCCAGAATAGATCCTGAAACAAATTGTAACAGAAATAAGCATTTTTTTAAAAAAATACAATTGTGTATTTAGTTTACCTTCTAAGAAAAGCAAAATCTACACTAATAAAAGAGAAACATGCTAATTGACCATACCTCTATGACACCCACCAGCCAATCAGAAGTAAGTATATAAATTTACCCAATAAAGATGGATTGAAGTGAGGGGAATCTTCCCAATGGGTTCAGCAGCAAGCAGGGCACTGGTCATCCAAATCCCGGAGGGAAGGTGGCCCAGGGTGAGAAAATACCCAGTATCCTGGACAGTGCCATGGTCTGGTCAGAAGTGGCCAAGGGCAGGGTGGGTTGCTTGCGTTGTTGCCATGGTATCCCGCACTGGGCTGTATGGGAAGGCAGAAAGGCAGCCCTGGCCAGAGTGAAGGTGGTGCTAGCAGCCAAGGGAAGAAAGGCCCATTTTTGCATGAATCTTCATGCATTGACCTCTAGTGAATATATAGAAGGAATATATGTGACTGGATTTTAAAGATCATGTTTGGGAAAGAACCATAAAGAATAGGTTTGCAGGTAGATGTTTGCCAAACATTAATTATTCTTTGATCAATTTCTATAAAGCAAAAGCTCAACAACCCAATAAACAGTTGAAGGATGATTAACCTCAGTTGGGCAATCAGACTTTCAAGTAGATCTGGATAACAGTTATCAGGAATGGGCCAAGAGGTACTCATTTGTTGAGTAAATTGGCATAATCAATAAGGGAAATCTAGTTTTTAAACTAAGCAATTTCAGTGTAGTCAAAATATTGATATTTTGTGACTTAAAAATTATATGATTCCAATTTTAATTTTAAGAATACAGTCACTCATTTATTCATCAATTATCTGTGACTACCATATGGCCCACAAGCCTAAAATTTCCTTTGTCCCTCTACAAAAATTTTTGCCTGCTCTAGAACAGCACTTATAATAAAATTTGCAATGGTGCCCTAACCGGTTTGGCTCAGTGGATAGAGTATCAGCCTGCGGACTGAAGGGTCCCAGGTTCGATTCTGGTTAAGGGCATGTACTTGGTTGCAGGCACATCCCCAGTAGGAGGTGTGCAGGAGACAGCTGATGTTTCTAACTCCCTCTCCCTCTAAAAAAATCAATAAAATATATTTAATAAAAATTTGCAATGGCAAAAATGTTCTAGCTATTCACTAGCTAAATGTAAAACTGAAAAAGGGAATGCAACTTATGGCTATTGTATAATGTAATAACTCTAGAAAACCGGGTGTATTTTAAACCACACATAGTTTTACATGTTTTGAGTAATATGAACATAAATTATTTTCTTTTACTGCTTTGAATAGTGGAAAATTGGAAAATGCCTAAATTGTCAATTGAAAGAACATTGGTTAAATTTTGTACCATCCATATAATGGAATACTTGGAAGCCTTATTGAAATAAAACCAAAGAAGTAAAGCAAGAACAATGTATGATCTTTAATCTTTGTTTAGTGTATCACTGCAACAAAACCTTTTCATATTGGTTGAGATTCTCACAACGTGGCAACTGGGATTCAAAGGCAGTTATGAGACCTTCTGGATTCAGGAAAATAAAAGATTGATTCCACTATTTCATGAGAAGAGTAGAATTTATGGCATTTTTAAAAAATATTTTTTTATTGATTTCAGAGAGAGAGAGAACATCAATGATGAGTCATCAAATCTGCTGCCTCCTACATGCCCCACACGGGATCGAGCCCATAACTCACGCATGTGCTCTAAATGGTAAATGTAACCTGGTTCATTAATGCTCTAGCACTTAGTCACCCCTGCCAGGCTTGTGTCTATTTTTAATTCATATTATGTGCACACACATTCAAAATGTTTGTTTTATAGAAAATCCTTAGAATAGTAGGTGTACTGGTTAAATAATGCAGATTTTAAGTGACTTCTTTTTATTTTTTATTTTTTATTTTTACAAACTTAAGTGATGATTTCTATGTGAAAGACAAGGACATCCAAATCACCTGGAAAAGTTTGAAGACCAACAATTACAAGCATTATTGGGTGAAGATGTGTGTCAAACTCAAAAACAACTTGTAGAAATACTAAATGTTGCTCAGCAAACCATTTTCGATCATTTGCAAGCAATGGGAAATATTTTAAAGGGAGGGAAATGGGTGCCACATCAACTGAACGAAAGGTAAATGGAAAACCAAAAAGTCATCAATGGCACGAAAGAGTCTTTTTTGCATCAAATTGTGACGCGATGAAGTGGATTTTTTTTTTAAATATATCTTATTGATTTTTTTTTACAGAGAAAGGAAGAAGGATAGAGAGCTAGAAACATCAATCAGAAGTGGGTTTGTTTTGATAATCCCAAATGCACAAAATCATGGGTTGACCCAGGTCAAAGATCAACATCTATAAGGCCAAATCGCTTAGGAAAGAAGACAATACTCTGCATTCAATGGGTTCAGGAAGGTGTATGTTACGAGCTAAAACTAGGTGGAATATAATACTGATTGCTACCAACAAATAATCAATTTGGACCGTGCTTTGATCATGAAATGACCAGAATGTTCCAGAAGATACAGCAAAGTAATTTTGCTTCATGATGACGTAATGTCACACATTTCAAAACCACTTAAAGACACGTTAAAAGGTCTTGGCTGGGAAGTATTAACCCACCTGCAGTATTCACCAGACCTCGCTCCTTGAGATTACCACTTGTTCTAATCAATGGCACACACGCCTTCTGAGCAGCACTTCAAAACATACAGAGAAGTGGAAAATTGGGTCCCTGAATGGTTTGCCTAAAAATAAAAGTTCTATTGGCACGTATCCACAAATTATTTGAAAGATGGGGGGAAATGTGTAGCTAGCAATGAACATTACTTTGAATAGAGCATTTTTGATGCTTCTCTTGAGATCATGTTATTACAAAATCTGCCATTATTAACCGGTATACCTAGTACACAAGAAATGGTTGATAAAGGTTGCCTTAATAAAGGGAAATAGAGATTGGGGAAAACTTGTATTTGAATTTTATTATATGTACTCAAAAAAAAAAAAAAATATATATATATATGTTGTTTTTTTAATTTTTTAGAGAGTAAGGGAGAGGGATAGAGAGCTAGAAACATCAATGAGACATACATCAACCAGCTGCTTCCTACACACACCCCACCAGGGATGTGCCCGCAACCAATGTACATGCCCTTGACTGGAATTGAACCTGGAACTCTTGAATCCCCAGACTGACGCTCTATCCACTGAGCCAAACCAATTTCGGCCATATATTTTTTTATATTACCTATTTCAAAAACTTTGAGCCCCTTCACCTCCACTACCATGCCACTGCTAAAAGAACCACTGGTTAACAGTTTTATGTTTTTAAATAACCCAAAGTATAGAAATGACCTGGTTCCAGGGTATTCAGTCTGATTTAAAATAATTAGATGATGGACTTTCAAATGATTCTGAGACTACAGCTCTGCTGAAGGCAGCAATACATATGCTCAAAAGCTGGGGTTAGATTTATATAGAACTGGGTTCACATCTTGGCTTTGTCACTATTTAGCTTCCTGTCCTAAAATTCTTATGTAAAACCAGAATAATGGCACTTAACCCTCTAAATCAGGCGTCTTCAAACTACGGCCCCCAGGCCACATGTGGAGTCTGATCCGGCCTGCCAGGTTTTTGGGGCAGTGAGCGCAGCCGAGGTATTACAGTAGGAATTAGTAGTTCATATAGTCCGGCCCTCTAGCTCTCTGAGGGACCGTGATCTGGCCCCCACTTTAAAAAGTTTGAGGACCCCTGCCTAAATTATAATTACAATGCATTCTAGGCTACTTAATGATTGCTGTCAAAATTAAAGTCCTCAATGCCTCCTGTGCTCAAAACTGCAGCCAGTCTTCATTATGAACTTGAATCCATACTCTATTCTGGTATTTACACTTGATCTTGAAGCAATTATCCTGTTATTTAAAGGCTCAGATAATAGACCCTTGCCAGGCAGCTGAGTTGAGCATCTTTCAGATATGTCAAAGTTGCAGTTCAATCTCTGGCCAGGGCACATACACAAGTCAACCAATGAATACATAAATAAGTGGAACCACATCAATGTTTCTTCCTCTCTATAAAATCAATTTTTAGAAGTGTAAAGGCTTTGCCGAAACCAGTTTGGCTCAGTGGTAGAGCGTCGGCCTGTGGACTGAAAGTCCCAGGTTCGATTCCGGGGGGTGTGCAGGAGGCAGCTGGTCGATGTTTCTCTCATCGACGTTTCTAACTCTATCCCTCTCAATTCCTCTCTGTGTAAAATCAATAAAATTAAATTTTAAAAAAAGTGTAAAGGCTTCTATAAAATAGCTGTACCAAACTTTTTAGTTAGTCCTTTCAGTCTCAGTTGGCATTCTTGCTTTGTACCATCATTACCATCCCTGGTGCACATCCACTCTATAGTAACACAAACATGAGTAGAGCTCTTGATCAGATCCATCGCCACACAGCCTGGTAATTTGTCATATCCATCATTTTGTCCCTGCTCTTTTATAGTGCCCTTTGGGAAATAGACATTTGATGACTGAAATCTTGTATTTGGCTTTCAATGTATATTTGCTTATGAGCCACTAAGCAGATCCTCAATAAATAATTACTCAATTGAAAAAGTTTGACTTCTCTTCTTAGAATCACCAGATGGCATTACAACCTTACACAAAAGCCTGAGTAAATGCATGTTTCTGTCTGGAGGAGCAGAGCTTGTGCCATCAAATAACAGGACAACATAAAGAAAAGTCTTAGCCAAGATAAATTGGAATCAGAGGTTCAGTAAAAAGCATATCTTGTTTTGAGTGGAAAACCCAAGATTCTCTGGAGAATTAGGAGCCCCAACATTTCATTCCAAAGCTATGTAGTGTGGGCTTACACATCGTTTACTCATAGGAGCCTTGAAATGCCTTTCAAATCCTGTAGAGAACCATAGAGATGTGGAGTTGTAGTTCCAATCTACAGTAGTTACTTAAAATTTCCCAGGGAGAATGATGACCTTAAATAAATAAATAAAATAAAATTTCCCAGGGTACAATTTGATCTCTCAACAGATAACTTAATGATGGAAAATTTTAGTTCCTTGACTATTTTTTTAAAATATATTTTTATTGATTTCAGAGAGAACTATCTATGAGAGAGAATCATGGTGGATTGGCTGCCTCCTGTAAGTTCCGCACTGGGGATCAAACCCACAACCCGGGCATGTGCCCTTGATCGGAATTGAACCTGGGACCTTTCAGTTCTCAGGCCAATGCTCTATCCACTGATCCAAACCAGCTAGGGCTGACTATAATTCTTGTAAGACAAAAAATAAGGCCTTTTTTCTTTGCTGTGACCTTCCATAATTTAGAAGCACTTGGTAATTAAACCCTAAGATTGTTGGCTCCTCTATTCTTGTGGCTCAGTAATTGAGCATTGACATATAAACCAGTTTGATTACCAGTCAGGGCAGATACCCAGCTTGTGGGCTCCATCCCCAGGGTGCAGGGTGCAGGAGGCAGCTAATCAATGATTCTCACTGATGTTTCTATATTTTCCTCTGTCCCCCTGAAATCAGTTTATCTATATATAACTAGAGCACTAAGTTAAGTATACATACCTCTATTTACCTATATGTTTCCAAAAATTCTAGGTTAGCACTTCTTAGTTGGGATTCAGGAATCTATTTTTTTAACAACTCCACCAGGTGATTCTCATCATGAGAGAAGTTTGGGAAACACTGCCCTAGACAAGGGGTGGTGGGGACAACTAGGAAAGACCCCCCCCCCTTTTTTTTTTAATTGTGCTCAAAATAGTAAAACAAGAAACCTCCCTCAATAGCCAGCCTTTTCTGCTTTGGGTAGTTTAATCTTCCTTGAATGGGAGATGGCAAGACCTAGGTGACCTATTAGGAAATAGATGACCAAGTGGTACTCAGCCAATGAGGAACTGGAGGAGGGACTAAATAAATAGGCTGTGTTTCTGTACTATGGGCGCCCACTTTTGAATGTGTTAAGTCATTTTTGCCATGCTTCTGTTTCCTAATCCATTTGAAATTTGGACAGGTAATTCAGTTTGTTGGAGAGCAGGTGGATTCTGATCAGAGCTCCTTTAGAAATCAACCAATAGATGGAGCAGTGGATAGAAGTGTTTGTTTTTTCTCTCTCTGAAATCAAATAAAAGGTATTTTGGCTGTCAAGGCAGCACAATTTCTGTGCCTCCTCTCTTTTTTTCTTTTTTTTTCTTACCGTCCTCTACTCTTTCTCTTTTGCCATTCAGCGTTCACCTGATTAGATTTCAAGGATTGATCCTAATAAAATATATATTTTATTGATTTTTTTTACAGAGAGGAAGGGATAGGGATAGAGAACCAGAAACATCAATGAAAGAGAAACATCAATCAGCTGCCTCTTGCACACTCCCCACTGGGAATGTGCCCAAAACCAAGGTACATGACCCTGACCGGAATCAAATCCGGGACCCTTCAGTCCTCAGGCCAACGCTCTATCCACTGAGCCAAACCGGTTAGGGCCATTTATGTCAAGTTGAATTAGCCTCTAACACACACCTATTTCCCTCAGCTCAAGAACTGTAAATACCAGTCCTGACTTGAAAAGTTGATGCCCAGATTCAACGTGCTTATTGTTTCCTCAGCTGAAACATCTTCCAGTACCCCTTAATAGCACTGCTAACCCTAGAGTTGTCATTCACCCATGGCTCTTCTCTCCATCATCTTCTCCATCCAATAAAATTAGCAAGACTAGCTGCTTTCGTACTAAATTATCTCGTTTTCTACTTGTCTCTAGTCTTCATTTATGCCCCTCCACAATCTTCACATTGGACCCAGGATAATTTTTCAAGGATGCAAATCTGACTCAGCATACTTAAGGCTTTAAAATTTTGAGTGCTATTAATCAGGACTTATATTCACTGATTTACTTCAGAACACACCTGAACAAATACTCTGCATTTGTATTTAAAACCCCAGGAATATAAATGGCCATTTCCTCCAGCCTGATCTATGAATTTATCAAAATCTGCCTTAGTTATTTTGTGTGATTTATTTATTTATTTAAAAATATATTTTATTGATTTTTCACAGAGAGGAAGAGAGAGGGATAGAGAGTTAGAAACATCGATGAGAGAGAACCATCAACCAGCTGCCTCCTGTACACCCCCCACTGGGGATGTGCCCACAACCAAGGTATAATACATGCCCTTGACTGGAATCGAACCTGGGACCTTCCAGTCTGCAGGCCTACGCTCTATCCACTGAGCCAAACCGGTTTCGGTGACTTTTTTTTTTTTTTTTTAATCATTGATGTTTCTCTCTTTTTTCTTTCTTTTTCTTTTTCTTCTTCTTCTTTTTTTTTTAATAATTCTTTATCATTGCAAGTATTACATATGTCCCCCCTCTTTTATCCCCCATTGCGCCTTTGTATTTTTTTTAACACGTACTATACTTACAGAGCCCAGCAGTCTCAGTGTTTTGCATTTAGTCAGATTTTTTAAAAATATATTTTTATTGATTTTTTACAGAGAGGGAGATAGTTAGAAACATTGATGAGAGAGAAGCATCAATCAGCTGCCTCCTGCACACCCTCTACTGTGGATATGCCCCCAACCAAGGTATATGCCCTTGACCTGAATCAAACCCAGGACCCTTCAGTCCATAGGTGGGGGGATACCATTGAGAGGTAAGACAGCAAACCCATCCCACCGCCACCGCCATTTGGTAAATCTGACTAAATGGCCGAAACCGGTTTGGCTCAGTGGATAGAGCGCGGGCCTACGGACTGAAGGGTCCCAGGTTCGATTTCTGAGATGAAAAACCAGCCCAAATGGCATGGGTTCCTCCTTCCTGGTGCTTCCTACCATTCCTCCTCAAATAATCAGATTTGCCTGAGAGGATAGAAATCATATCTAAGCCAAGGACTCCCAATTCTCGCTTCTAACACATACCTTATTTAAAATTTCGAAACCCCATGCAATTTAGGGGTTTCGAAAAAGGGTGTTTTTTTTGGGGGGAGGGGGGGACATGGGACTCGAACCTGTTAACTGTAGCTGCTTCCTTATCTCCCTCCACAGGGGGGCTCCTAGATTAGAGAACCACTACGGCCGCTGAGAACCGGAGTGTAGTGCGCGCACCGGGGAGGGGGCGGCTCCTGGCGCGTGCCGAATGGCGACCCGAGGTGGGTGGGGGCGAGCTCTCGCGAGAGCGAGTTCTTTGGCTGCTGCCGCGGCTGCCACCTCTTACCAGCGCCGTTGCTGCGGAGGATTGTGGGAGCCTCGGTGTCCCGCTCGCTGGGAGAGAGGTACCTCTCCTTTCCCCTCTCCCTTTCCTTAAGGTAGGCGTGAAGCGGGTAAGAACCGGGGTGGGGTGGGGTGGGGTGGGGTGGCCGGGGGTTCTCCGCACCCGCCTGAAGGAGGCAGCGACAGCGACGGGGGTCTGCGGGGAGCCGGCGGCGCGCCTTCCTTGCTCGCTCCCGCTTGTCCGCTCTTGCCTCCCTCCGCGCTGCGTACGTGAGCCGCCTCAACGGCGGCCGCCATGTTAGGAGCGCAGTGGCGGCACAACCAGCCTCCTCGGGCGGCTGAGGTGAGCGGTCCCGGAAGGACGTACGCAGCCAGCCGAGGGCCCGGGGTGCGGTGAGAGAGTCGGGGGGCGCGGAGGACAGCCAATCGTCCGAGCTTCCCGCGCCCTGGGCTTTCTGTGGGCGGGGGCGGGACGCCGAGCCCGTTACACGCGAGCTGCAGCGCTGAGGAGGGAGGAGCACCGGAGGCCTGAGGGACCGACTGTCCGCAGGGGGCCTGCCGTTTGGGAAGGTTAGTTAAGATGGGGAAGCCCTTGGATGGCGTCAATGCCATACGTTTGCTTTATTTTTTTCCTCTTGCGCCTGAAAGGGTGCCCCAAAATGGAGGATTTCGCAGATTGAGAGGCTTGGCGGTTTGAGCAGCGTTGCGCTCTCGGTGTCACGGCCTGCGCTCCGCTCCTCGCCCATCGCTTCAGAACGCCCCCTAAGATTCCTCCGTCCCCCCCACACGCACGCGCGCGCGCTATCTTAGCCGGACCCCAGGAGCAATCCGTCCCCACCCCCACCCCCCACCCCCCACCCCCGATCGCAAAAATGGCCGAAAAATGAAACGTTAACGCTTGTTTTTTGTGTGTGTGTATTGCGTCGTGGATGAAGCCATCTGCAGTACGCTGCCAGGCAGGAGATGTGTTCGGTGGTAGAGGATCGCCTCACATTCCTTTTCCTTTTATTAAAATATCAGTCCAGGCTCCCTAGAGGGATCGTGTGGTGTGGGACCTTCCGGTTTCCAGACAAAGGGTTTGGAGTACCGCGGTGTAGACGCATCGTTGTTCTTTTCATTGCTGCTAAGCGCTGCGCGGTGTTCTGCAGGGATTTTCCCCATTTACCGTGGAGGAATGTTTTCTAGGTGTCTATACTGTTCTGTGGAATATTCCTATTGGATGAGTTAACAGTTTTCCAGCTAGATATTTCTAGAACGGTTACGGCGATTCCGAAATTTCTAGTCTTTTCAAGCGCGCTGGAGGAATGTGAGAGTCGTTCATTTCCCAGGTCGTAGTCATGAGATTTTTGTATGGATGCTGCGTTTTGCTTGTTGAACAGAGCTTAGTTTAAGATTTTTAAATAGACATGATTTTTCTCTCAGGTAGATTCAAACAGTTGTACTCTCCAGCAAAAATAATACGAGGATTAAATGCTCAGAATAAAATTTCCTTTTAAAAACTCAATGGTTATTTATCCATGCAGCCTATTGACATCGTTCTTTCAACATTAGAATGGTTTTAGTAATCAAAAAGGCGGGGAAGACAGATTTTTGTTGCAAAAAAGCTCTATGGTGTGCCTTTCCACTTAAAAATGCTTTTTTTCAAACTCGAAATAAAACATAGTTGAAGTACTACATGAAGATTTTTCTAGCTGGTTATGTAACATTTGGAAAATCGATCTTCAGCCAGAAGATGTTTGTGTTAAAGTGCTTAAAATTTTTTTTTAATTCCATTTCTTCCTTTGCATTTAACGTGTTTGTAACAGCGTATAATTTACTCAGAGAGGAATTTTTCTCTTTATTATCTTTACATATCTCCCTTATCAGCTATGTGTAAGTGGTTTTGCTTTTACCTAACATTTTGAACTAATTCGGAAGGATTTAATCATGCTTAATTTGAATTTTTATGTTGAAGGAGTATTAAAACACTAATCTTACTAATGCTTTTAGGGAAGTGTAAACGCTAAATAATACTACAAATCAGTTAATGATAACTAAACAATGCAAAGGAAATGTATTACATAATTTTAGAAATAAAATGTTCTGATCGCTAATTTTATGGAAGACTAAAGCCCAAGGGAGGTAATAGATTTATGTACACGAATGTTAATCTCAGTTATTAAGCACATTAAAAATCTAAAAGGTTTTTTTAGCCGGGACCGGTTTGGCTCAGTGGATAGAGCGTCTGGCCTTTGGACTGAAGGGTCCCGGGTTCGATTCCGGTCAAGGGCATGTACCTTGGTTGCAGGCACATCCCCAGTGGGGGGTGTGCAGGAGGCAGCTGGTCGATGTTTCTCTCTCATCGACGTTTCTAACTCTGTCCCTCTCAATTCCTCTCTGTGTAAAATCAATAAAATATTAAAAAATAAAATAAAAGGTTCAACATTTAGAGATCTGCTAATCATAGTGTGACCATCAAATGGAAATCTATACAGCTATTTAAAACTGTTTAGGAGAGTAATGATGGGGAAATGATAATGGAATATAGTATTAATTGGAAAGAAAGAAAATGTAATAAAATTCTGCTTTTGCCAAATTTAATATTTTGTTCAAAGAGATGTGTGAAACAAAAATAGAGATATGTTCAGAATGTTAGCTCTGGATAGGCGTTATGGGTGATTTGCATTTCCTTATGTTTTTCAGAAATTTCCATAAGGAATTATATTTACTTTAGTAATGAGAGGTGAAAGGAAACATTTTTTTTTGTAAATGTTACAACTGCTTAAAAGACCAGAATTTTGTGGTGTTTTGTTTTTTAGGATTCTCATGTATTTTTTTAGGGTAATTGCCAGAAGTGATACAGCTTCTTAAGTCTGAGGTGTAGTTTTCAAAAGTGACAAGAAGTAATAGTGCTTGTTGTGTAAGATACTCTGGTTATGTGTAGACAAATATTGGAATCTAAAAACAGTCTTATTTTAAAATATTAAGTTTGCTATCACTGGGACTAATGCTAATTAGTTGACTATATGAACTGTAGCTATTAACTATGTTATGAGCAAAACCAAAGAATTAGATAATCCTTTTTTTGGCCCTGGCCCTTGTGGCTCAGTTGGCTGGAGTGTCATTCTGTGTGTCCGGAGATCGTGGGTTCCATTCTCATCAGGGCACCTATGGGAGTGGCAATGGCTCCATCTCTCTCCTTTTCTCCCTTCCTCCCTATCTAAAATCAATTTTAAAAATTAAGTAAAATAAAAGTACTTCATTTTTATATGCCTCGTTTTTAGTCAGAATTGCATTGTGCCCCACATTTGTGATGTGTTCTGAGTATACTTGACTGGCTTTGGGTAGACAATACTAAGTTTTTTTTGGGTGGGGTGGAAGGGTTGTAGACAGTAGCTTTGATCTTTTTTAAAATACATAAATTTTATTGTTTTGTTTTTTTTTTTGTTGTTGTTTTTTTTAGAGGGGGGGGGGGGAGAGGAACATCAATCAGCTGCCTCCTGCACATCCCCCACTGGGGATGTGCTCACAACCAAGGTACATGCCCTTAACTGGAATGGAACCTGAGACCCTTGAGTCCGCAGGCAGACCCTCTGTCCAGTGAGCCAAATCTGCTAGGGCTGCTCTTTTAATTCTTAGCTCTGTAGTGGGCCTTTTCACAGGGTCAATAAAAAATTTTTAAAAGCTGCTTTAAAATTTAAAGCCTAATTTATATAAAATACTTGCTTTTTTTTCTGGGAAGTTTTTTATTTTTTTATTTTTTATTTTATTTTTTATTTTTAAAATATATTTTATTGATTTTTGTACAGAGTGGAAGGGAGAGAGTTCGAAACATCAATGAGAGTCATCGATCAGCTGACTCTTGCACACCCCCTACTGGGGATATGCCCGCAACCAAGGTACATTACCTTGACTGGAATCGAACCCGGGGCCCTTCAGTCCCCAAGCTGACGCTCTATCCATTGAGCCAAACCGGTCCCGGCTGGGAAGTTTTTTAAAGGGCTTATGTCTGACACTCTCTTGATCTAGAGTCCCAATTAAAATGTAATTTTTGGTACATATATATATTTTTTTACATATCGTATAGCAGAATTTAATTAATAGAAAAAGAAGGGTGTCCAGGATAGGGATAAGAAGAGCATAGAAGAAAATAAAGACCATCTATGGTAGATGTTATAGTGGGCAAGCAATAAATATAGCAGATATGGAAAGAAATCAATTGATAATGGGGTCTGAAATAGGATCTTTGATTTGGAGTATCATATGTTGCTAATGAAGAACTTTCTGATTTTTCAAGGTGATTGTATTCCCCTTTCCCCCCTTTATGGGGATTACTAGGATGTTAAACATTTTCCTTTGGTATATTAACTCACAATAGAAGACCCTATACCAGCCAAAACCGGTTTGGCTCAGTGGATAGAGCGTTGGTCTGCGGACTGAAAGGTCCCAGGTTCGATTCCGGCCAAGGGCATGTACCTTGGTTGCGGGCCCATCCCCAGTAGGGGGTGTGCAAGAGGCAGCTGGTCGATGTTTCTCTCTCATCGACGTTTCTAGCTCTCTAGCTCTCTCCCCTCCTCTCTGTAAAAAATCAATAAAATATATTAAAAAAAAAAAAAAAAAAGACTCTATACCAAATGTGAAATTTTAAAGTCAAGCCTTTGAGCAGGCAGTGGTTGGGCAAGAAATAGCAATATCAAATACAAACATTTGTACTTAAAATATTCTTGCTGTGAAATGTGAGAACAATTTTAATGCTTAACTGTATCCTTGTACAGGCTATGGTATTCTGGAAAAGCATTATGGAGGAGGCCATTTCACACTTAAACATTGAGGCACTAAAATTTTCATAGCATTCTTGCTAAGGCAAGAATTAGAAACAATCTTAAATGTTCACCAGTTGAAGAATAGATAAGTATATGTACTGTAACAGTATATTGCAGTGAAAATGTAGGTTTAATTCATGTTAAAATCAGTTTCTAAAAGCAGGTAATACATATTAAGTCAATTTGTAAAAAGTTAATGCAAAAGTAACATTTTCTAAAATATAAAGTGGTAAGACAAGGGACTTCAGGAGAGGAAGAAGAATACATTGTAAATTGGTATGTAATAGGTATCTGAGGTCATGTTCGTGTTCTGTTTCTCATCTTGAATATTTGTATACACTGGTTTGTATAAAAATGCATTATAGAAAGTGGAGGTGGCCGAAACCGGTTTGGCTCAGTGGTAGAGCGTCGGCCTGTGGACTGAAAGGTCCCAGGTTCGATTCCGGTCAAGGGCATGTACCTTGGTTGCGGGCACATCCCGGTGGGGGTTGTGCAGGAGGCGGCTGGTCAATGTTTCTCTCTCATCAATGTTTCTAGCTCTCTCTCCCTCTCCCTTCCTCTCTGTAAAAAGTCAATAAAATATATTTTTAAAAAGAAAGAAAGAAAGAAAGTGGAGGTGCTGGGCCATACCAGTATTAAGTAAGAGGAGAGACATATTCAAGCTAATAATTTGCACAGGAGCAGCCTCTATAGTTGCTCATAAAACAGCCTTTTTCATGAGGTATTGGCATATGGTAGAAAGTGGGTTTAGGATGCAACCAACATATGAAAGTCATTGAAAACCATAATGTGGACTTCTTATGGTAAGTAGTAATGTGTAGTATGTTTTTAAACAGTGAAGTGTAAGATAATAAGTGATGTTTTAGGAAGTTTATATTGGAAGCTGAACATGGATGCAAGGAGTCCAGCAGAAAGACAGGAGGACTGATCTCCAATAAGGTTAAGGTAGAGGAAATAAAGAGGTAAGGACTTTGTTCTGGAGGATGAGAAGGTAATTTAGAGGTAGATTGGCAATAGAGGATGAAGAAGGAAGGTTAGTTTAATTTATCTGCTTTCACTGTAATTCACTTCTCTTACTCAATTTTATTTGTCTAGGTTACTACCAGTCTTTAAATCTGGTCTTTTAAGCTTACCTCAGGTTCAGTAAAAAAGTTCAAATAAGAATTCTGGCTTTGATAAAAATGGATGAGACATAGAGGTACAAGTGTGTCCTGGTTGGTGTGGCTGGGTTGGGCATGGTCCCATGCACAAAGGGTAGCAGGGTCAATTCCCATCAGGGCACGTGCCCCAGTTTTCAGATTTCAAATTCCCAGGGGCATGCAGGAGGCAGCCAGTGTTTCACTCTGACATCGATGTTTCTCTCTCCCTTTCCCTAAAAATTATTAATATTTTAAAAAGTGAAAGGTTTATACATTCTTTACTCATATATCTTGGTCAGTCTTTTTATCCCTAAAGTTTGTTTTCTCCTAGGTTTTGAGGATCAGATTACATATGTGATTACTGTGTATGCTTAGTATGTATCAGACACCATTCTAGGTGTTTTGTGTAGGTTAATGTATGAAATCTTAAAGGTCTTATGAAATACGTATTTTTATTCCCATTTTGTGGAATTTGGAAACGAGTAATGTGCCCAAAGTCACATTGCTATTTTGTAATAGAACTAGCTAGCATTTAGATCAAGGCATTTGGGGCACCAAAAATCTATACTGCATTATATAACAAATCAAAGAGTTGTGCACGTGTTTGTGGAAACGAACATAAAGTGAATATAGAAAGAGGAAAATTGTAAGGGTGCAGAATGGTGCTTACATGAAAACCATGCAATAATAGCAATAATTTTGCTATTAGTGGACAAAAGAGTAAGACAAGTTAATATCAGAATAAATCAAGAGTCAAAATTGTTCGATAAATGGGATAATTTTCTATCCTGTGATATGGGGTTATTAATTAGTTTCCTTTCTTGCTCTAATCTGAAAATATTTAAAGTTTAATTGAAAGTCGCTGGGAAAAAACTTTAAAGCTAGAAAGAAGAAAAATATTTCAAGTCCAAATAGGAATCCCTTCTACTGATTAACACATTTTCTATTTTAGCAGCAGAAAAAACTTTGCACCACTTTTATCATTAGCCTAAGAATCAAGAAGTGGGCTAGAAGTTGAATCAGGTCTGTAAGATGGATTCAGAACAATAGTCTTAAAGCACTTAAAAATAGTAGTAATTTGTGAGCCTTTCTGGCACTGCATTTTATAATGTTTCATCTTTCCTATTGTAATGAGGCACATATTACATGCATTGCTTTATACAAAACTGGAATTATTAGATTGGGGCCTTATTTCTTAAGGGGTTTACTATTTAATTAGTTATTTATTAGATATATTGTTGATTTCAGAGAGGATATGGAATAATTAACCTAACCCTGTACTTTATGCAGGGTTCCAAGCACCATTTCCAGTAGATTCAGTAGTTCTCTCTTGGATACCAGGAATCTACATATTTGTTTAAAATTGATTTCAGAAAGAGAAACATGGATGTGTTATTCCACCCATTTACACATTCATTGGTAGCTTCTTGTATGTATCCTGACCTGGGACCGAGCCCAGTCTTGGAGTATTTGGGATGATGCTCTGACCAACTGAGCTGTCCTATCCTGCCTTGTACTTTAATTGGAAATGAGTTAAAGTTCTGACCACAGGAATGAATGGCCCCCCCCCCCTTTTTTGTGTGTGTGTGTAATTGGCAAAATTAAGCAGCTACCTTTTCAAATGGCGCTTTTCTTTCTCTTTTTAATCCTCACCAGAGTATTTGATTAATTTTTAAAGAGAGCAAAAAACATGGATGGGTTACTACCTCCGTACACACTTCGACTTGGGATCGTATCCACAACCTTTTAGTGTATAGGGCAACACTCCAACCAACTGAGCCATCAGCCTGGGCCCAAGTGATGCTACTTTGAAATTATTAACAGTGAGCTGTCCCTGCCATCTATTGGTAATATGGTTAGGGCATTTTTACTGTATTGGTACTGTTAGTTGCTACTTTAAATATATTTGGCATATTTCCACAAGAATAAGTTAAAACACAAAGATGCTTGACTTTGATAGAACACTTGGAAAATCTGAATGTTTTTAATTCCAAAAAGGAAAATAGTTTCTGACTGTTACAAGTTTTTATGTGAAGTGAAGGCTTAAAATAATGTCAGTATGAAGGCATCTTTTCCTGAGTTATCTCTACAAGTTTTATGGTTCTTAGAATTAGTTGTTGTAATGAAATAATTCACACATTTAAGAACATAGCTAAAGATCCATATAGTAGTAGATACCTTTAAAACATTGCATTTTTAAATTTTGAATTTAGAAGCTGAATATTTTTTTCTATAATATCTTTTTTCCTTTTTTAAACATTTTTTTAATTGATTTTAGAGAGAAGGGAAAGGGATAGATAGAAACATTGATCAACTGTCTCCTACATGGTCCCCACTGGGGACTAAGCCCATGTTCCCTGACTAGGAATTGAATTCCAGCCTCCTGGTTCATGAGCCAAGGGTCAACACTGAGCTATACAATCGGGCTATAATATAAAGAACTAAAGTTTGTTTATGCTTATTTTAGTAATTCTGCTGAATAAATAGTCCTCTGAAGGAATGAATAATAGAACTAACGTAATCTTTAAGTTATATAGGAGAATATCTAAATATGAAACAACCATTTGCTTCAAGAACTTTCTGAGTGTGTTTTCTGAAAAAGCTTTATTTTTTGAAATATTTTAGTATTCCACTTTTATTTTATTTTTTTAATATATTTTATTGATTTTTTACAGAGAGGAAGAGAGAGAGATAGAGAGCTAGAAACGTCGATGAGAGAGAAACATCGACCAGCTGCCTCCAGCTGCCTCCTGCACACACCCCACCGGGGATGTGCCTGCAACCAATGTACATGCCCTTGACCGGAATCGAACCCGGGACCTTTCAGTCTGCAGACCGACGCTCTATCGCTGAGCCAAACCGGTTTCGGCTAGTATTCCACTTTTAATTGGAGACAAAAATAAATCCAGTAAAGACTATCAGATAGCTATTCATGGAGTGGGGGATTGAATATTATTCATGGAAACTTAATTCTTAACCATACATCCAGATAATAATTGTTCAGATGTTGAACATATAGCTAACATATTTAGTATTTACTATTAGGTCATAAACTAGCTTTAAATTCTAGGTTAGTTATTTAATAGAATTGTCTATAAAAACGAGTGTTAAGCCTGTTAAAAATTTGATTATCAGATTGTAGTAAACGATATTTGTGAAGCCTAATTGTGGATGGCGTTAGTCCCATTTTCTTACGTTTTCCTGATTTGGGGGTAGAAATACTTCATGGGAGTGAAAGTTTCTGTGCTGATGGGCCTTTAGAATTTATTATATAAAGATCTTAGTGGGTAAATTAGATTTTGACATAACAATTTAGAATTCTTTCCAAGGAACTATTTTCAAATTTAAAATAATCTCATAATACGCTATGAAAAAAGAATTTTATAATTATAAGGAAGAAACCTACAGTAAAGTAAGCTAATATTTTAAATAATTTAGTGAACATCTGTACTAACTGAAGAGGCAGGCCTTGTTGGTTTGTTGTTTTTTGTGGGGGGGGGAGTTATTGATTTCAGAGAGGAAGGGGGGAGAGAAACATCAATGATGAGAGAATAGTTGATTGGCTTAGGCAGGTCTTGTTTAAATGAGCCTTTTATATAGGTTTGTTTATCTTATGTTTACCATTAATCAAAGATATTAAAAGAATTATTTTCATAAAAGCTCTAAATGGTCATGTCTGATTTCTCTCAATTTCTTTGTTCTAATTTTAAGGTTATTCTTAATGAAATTATAAGTTGTCATGGGATTTACATTGTTTGTCTTATCCTTTTTCTGACATCCATTTTCTGTTTTGTCTTAAGGTTATCTTTTACCTTCTCATAACCTTTCTTTTTGCAGAGCCATTGTTTTCATTGAACCTTACAAAGGAAAGTATTTGAGGTCTTTAATCCAACGATCATTTTCTTAAAATATGATGAATTTAAAATTTTTACACATGATCATAATACTATTGAATAATTTTCCTGAGGGAAAAGAATAGTTCTTTTTAAAAACTGGCTTTTCCATAACACAAAATTTTGCTTATAACATGAAGAGCAAAAACTGCAATTAATAATAACCTTGGTACTTTGAAATAGTGATTTTGATAAACCCTCTTAAGTTTTTATCTTTTTCAATAAAGTATACATGAAAATTTAGAGGGTCCCTATCAATGTTTTACACAGTATTTCAACTGCCTTTCTGTATGGCATTTATAAGACAAATCAAATGAACTTAAATCAAAAGAGGTCCACTTATTCTTGTTTTTATTTTTTTTAATCTCATCTTAAAGCTTAAGTAGTTTATATAATAGATCTCATCCAGAACTAGTTTCTTTAGTGTCTTTTCTCAAATTCATCTTTCTTGGTGTACAAAAACACCTTGTAATTCCAGTCATCTCTGATAGATTTTTCTGTGTCTTTTTAACTTTTTTACATCTTTTTGTAAAATGTAGTTTTACCTGTAACCCTTTAAAAAAAAAAAAAAGAAAAGAAAGAAAACTTCATCTACCACTGTATTTGTCCAGTGTTTCCTTGTATTATTCTATTACTAATGGGATTTGGTTCCATAATAAATTTGTAGCTATTAAATATTGCCTAGTTTTTACTGTAATAAAGTTTAATGTATTGCTGCACTATCAGTGCTTAGGTGTATGAATCATCAAACATACAAAAATTTAACAAAGCTTCCAAATATAATTCTATAGAAAACAATTTAAAACATCTATATGTGGTTGCAATTATAAAAAATTGTTTCATCAAGGACAGTTGTTAATGTACATCATTTAATATTTTATGAGAATCATACATAAATGCTTTGCAAATTCTTACATACCTATTTCTGAGGTAAAATAACAATTTAAGAAAGAAAATGAAAATAATTTCATTCAGAAATACATCTTGGGTGATCAGATTCAGAATTAATTTACATTTTCCAGGTGATTATGACTATTCTTGTGAAAAGTTTCCAGAAGGCTATACAAGCACGATCTTGTTTTCATTTTTACCTGTTTTGAACTCTTTAGGTGCTGAAGCCCTGAGCATTAAATGAGTGTTGGTGCATGCTAAACTAGGGGAGTTTCACTTCTTTAAGTCACCTACACTTCCTGTATTTGGGTTGTTTTTCTTGGGAGGTCTCTTATTTCTGTACCGACCATACTTAGTTCTTACCTTATAAGATTAGAAATGAAATAAATACTGCCTGACATAGGGTGGACAGTAAGAAGGCAGTTAGTTATATGGCTTAATTTGTGCAGAAATCCTTGAACTATAGGAAGCCACTTAATTTTCTTCACATCAATCTTCACCTCCAATTGATTTTACTATATAAAGGTCTCAGCTATTGTGTTTGGTCTTATATCTTATACTAGGTACTTGACACCTAACTTCAGTTACTTGTGATTTACTTGGTTCTTTCTGATAGTTATAATAGGTCTCATTTTCTAAAGCAGAATACAACTGATTCATCTTTGACTTGACATTTTTTGTTTGTTTTTAATCTTCTCCTGGAACTTAAGCATCATACTATATAGGGTGTGTTTTTATTCTTCTGAAAGAAGAACCCATCTATATTTTTACTGAAATTTTGATGTGCTCAGACATCTATCTGCCCCTTCAATTGAAATGTTTTTAAATTTAGTATGAAATTCCCTTTAATAGTTAAACTTTAGCATGAAAGATTACTTTTAAATATCTATATGCAGGCTCTGCATACATCTGGAATCTGTTTTAAGATATATAATAAATTCCTTGTAAATTTGAGATCTTAAATGTTTTTTTTTTTTATCAACATGATGCATAAGTTTTTTTTCTTTAAAAAACGGCATCTACTTAAAGGGATTTATGACTAAAATTGCTTATTTTTCTACAGAGTTGTCTGCTGGTTCTCAGCTTGAAGAAGATTCTACAGTCCTTATTGATCCTTTTTCTTGGCGTTACCATTTTTTGAAGCACAGTTAATCTAGTTTTCTAGTTTGAGCTTTCTTTTTGGCCATCTTTAAAAAAAAATTTTTTTAAATCTATAAACTAGCCAAGAGATAGTTCTACAATGTCCAAGTCATTCCAGCAGTCATCTCTCGGTAGGGACACGCAGGGTCATGGGCGTGACCTGTCTGCAGCAGGAATAGGCCTTCTTGCTGCTGCTACCCAGTCTTTAAGTATGCCAGCATCTCTTGGAAGGATGAACCAGGGTACTGCACGCCTTGCTAGTTTAATGAATCTTGGAATGAGTTCTTCATTGAATCAACAAGGAGCTCATAGTGCACTGTCTTCTGCTAGTACTTCTTCCCATAATTTGCAATCTATATTTAACATTGGAAGTAGAGGTCCACTCCCTTTGTCTTCTCAACACCGTGGAGATGCAGACCAGGCCATTAACATTTTGGCCAGCTTTGGTCTGTCTGCTAGAGACTTAGATGAACTGAGCCGTTATCCAGAGGACAAGATAACTCCTGAGAATTTGCCCCAAATCCTTCTACAACTTAAAAGGAGGAGAACTGAAGAAGGCCCTACATTGAGTTATGGTAGAGATGGCAGATCTGCTACACGGGAGCCACCATACAGAGTACCTAGGGATGATTGGGAAGAAAAAAGGCACTTTAGAAGAGATAGTTTTGATGATCGTGGGCCTAGTCTCAACCCAGTGCTTGATTATGACCATGGAAGTCGTTCTCAAGAATCTGGTTATTATGACAGAATGGATTATGAAGATGACAGATTAAGAGATGGAGAAAGGTGTAGGGATGATTCCTTTTTTGGTGAGACCTCGCATAACTATCATAAATTTGACAGTGATTATGAGAGAATGGGACGTGGTCCTGGCCCCTTACAAGAGAGATCTCTCTTTGAGAAAAAGAGGGGCGCTCCTCCAAGTAGCAATATTGAAGACTTCCATGGACTCTTACCGAAGGGTTATCCCCATCTGTGCTCTATATGTGACTTGCCAGTTCATTCTAATAAGGTGAGTTAATACAACAGATGCTTCTAATTTCTTGTACATTGTAGTGTCTATTCTGTGTTTACCTATATCTTTTACTCTAATTCTGTAGTCTGGTGACACTGAGTTGATCAAGAATTTTTATACTTTTGAGAACACTTTATTTGGAAGGTAATTGGTTTTTGAGCATTTTAAACCAGGGCTTTACATTAATACAATCTGCTGAGATTACTTCTGGCCACAAAACTATCATCCACTGGGATTATCTTGTTGGTTTTTGGCATCAGTATAATCTTCTTATTCATATTTAAGCAGTTTTTTGTCTGCTTTGTTGAATTGTTTTAAGTATTTTTATTTTTTTTGCAGTCAATATGCTCTGCCATTCAGGATGCTAGATTTTAGCTCTCCATCTGTCTTGATTGCGGATTTGTATGTAGTAAAGATGGATTCTTGAACGATTCTCTTTTTTTCCTTATCTTTGGCTATAGGGAAAGAGTTAATGTAGAGCCCTGGTGTTTGTTTCAGTATGTTTTATATTTTAGATTAGTTCATTCTTCCTTTTTTAATTTCCCTTTAACACAAACTCTCATACTATAACTGAAATTTTTCATCATTTTTTTTCTCCTTTTCCACAACTTTCTTAAACATACTTCAAAATTCACTTTTTATTATCCCATATTGCATCTATCCCTTTAGAGACTTGGAAAAATCAATTACTGCAGTATCCTGCTCTGTGCTCCTCATAAACATATTCTTTTTCTGACTTAGGGTTAGACTTCTGGTATAGTCATTTGAACAAAAAAAAATTATGTATCTCAATTCTCCTTTGCTTTAATTATCACATCTGGCAAAATGGGAACTTTTACAAAATGCTCTTTTAAATATGTTGTCTTTTTCTCTTTCGATGTTTAGATTTTACTTGTTCTCTGATGATTATTTTTTTCAATATACAGTGCAGTTGACTTAAAGTCAACAACACAACCATCCGTTTTTCCTGATGTGGTGTATAGTTCATTTCTATTCAACTGGGATATGTTGCCATGAAATTAAAGGTTACTGTTACATAGGGTTTTTTATTTACAGTAATATCTGGAAAGGTCATTTTCTTTTCTTAGAGATTTTGTTTAAGTAAACAAATATTTGAATCTATACCAAAATAGATTAACATTAAGTGCTAAATTTAAATTTATAGATCAGTTTTCATTTAAGATGTAGAACTTCAAACCCATGGAAATTTGATATGTGATTTGGCTGTTGTCCTTTTTCAAATTTGTTGGCTAATACTAATAATGTATTATGATATGTACCGTGTTTCCCCAAAAATAAGACCTACTTACAGGTTTCCTTCTGAGTGAAATGTAAGGCATCCCCCGAAAATAAGGCCCCCCCCAGGTCTGTCTCAGAATGAAAATTAATTTCCCCGTAAACTGGTCGCTAGGGCCGCCCTGACTGGCGTCTAGCAACCGGTGATGTTACTTGGAGTCCTGACGTCACTGCTTTGTGGAGGCGGAGTGGAGGTCAGAGTGAGCGGTGAGCACAGGGTGGGAAAGAGGAGGAGACTCGCAGATGGGTGTAGAAGAACAGGAGGATTAGAGCGGACTGGACACGGCGAAGGTGGTGAATGCTGGTCTGTCTCTGGTGACACTACCGTGTTTCCTCGAAAATAAGACCTATTTACAGGTTTCCTTCTGAGTGAAATATACCATTTCCCTGAAAATAAGACAGTGTCTTATTAATTTTTGCTCCCAAAGATGCGCTAGATCTTATTTTCAGGGGATGTCTTATTTTTCCATGAAGAAGAATACGGTACACATTTATTGTTAAATAAAAATAAAGGAAATTTATTACCTGTATACAGTACAGTAGTTGTCAACACAAACCAGACAAACTGAATCCTACAGTATCAAGAATTTACTCATTTATTCAGTGACAATCATGTCATCATCTTCTGGAACATCATCATAACAATCCAATTCTTGAATTTCCTGGTGAATTTCTTGTGACTCCATTTCTTTCAGAATCAGTGGACCAAATCTCTCATGTTTAGCAATAGCACTGTCTTTAAATGAGTACTTCTTGTCAAGGTAGCCTGCTCGCAATGCATTTGCAATGCAACTGTCAGTGATTTTCTCCCTTGAATTCTTCACCCAAGTCACAACTTCTTGCAGTTTAGGTTTCACAAAGTTTCCAGGCTGATTTCTCTCCATTCTATTTTCAATGTAGTCATTAATTTCCATGCGCAAATTGTCTTTGAATGGCTTGTTTATTGCAATATCAAGAGTTTGGAGATAGACCGTCATTCCTGCGGGAATCATTATCTGATCTATTTTTCTTTCGTGGTAAGTGCTGGCTGCATCCCAGACTAGCAGACCTCTTTGGCTCCTTCGCATAACAAGCGGCAGCATTAAGTAGACCCACTTCCTTATAACTGCTTGTGTGGCTCAGGCTTTTTCAGTTTCAAAAATAAAAACGCCCAAAACACGTTAAATCTTTTTCTTCTTGCCCTTAGAAATTATTAAAGGTGGGATTTTAGTGCCAGCCAGACGAATTGCCAAAATACAGGAAACACGTGCACTTTCATAAGCAGTGGAGGGAATGTACACTAAGGAGGCACCCGCTGTTCAATTGTTGTTTGAGATGATTGACCCGTAAACACTGCAGTTTCATCCATAACAATCATGTTGGAAAGATTGTATTTAGAGAAGTCAGCATCATCAATAAAGGACTTGAATACAAGTGCTCGCTTAATAATAACTTGAGTATCTTCCAACCTAAACAATGTTGTAGCTCTTCTTAAAGACAGTTCATCTCGCTGAAGGAAATTACCCAGCCATTGTTGTGATGCTTTGAAGTCTTCCGGGGGCTATGTCAAACTATGGTGCCATTGCAAGGGCAAATTCTTGAATCTGAGCTCTATTCACAACCAAAGTCTTTGCTCTCCTATCAACAACCCATTCACAGATTAGGTCTTCCAGCTCGGAAAATAATGGTTGCCAACCTGATCCACACTTGTGCTTTTTAGCATTTCCCTTGTCCACTTGTACAATGAGGTTACCATACTCTGCTCGCCATTTTCAGACCAATTGGATACTCAACATCTTTTCTTTGCAGAAAGCAGTAAGATTTTGGCCCCAAGAGTCTTCCACAATTCCTTTCTTGTACTCCACGGAGTAGCTTTTTCTTTTTGCGCTCATTTCTAGGGTTAAAAAAAAAAAGGAATTGGGGTATCAAGGTGGGGGAGGGGGATCACTTAAAATGACACAGGGGGGATCACAGAGGGGAATCAAAATGGCACAGGAGAATCAGAGGGGGGATTACTATTTTAGTAACCCCTTTTGATCCTCCTGTGACATTTTAAGTGATCCCCTCCCCCCACCCCTGTGCCACTGAACACCTTCACCAGACATCCCCCCCCACCCCACCCCTTTATCAGACATTTACCCCCTGGGGCCTGCCTGGGGACTTGCTGGGCTTGCTGGAGCCTGGATCTGGGCTGGAGCAGGGTCTGCCACTGACTGAGAACCTTCAGTCATTATGAGGGCGGCCGAGGGCATCAGGTAGTGTCAACCAGAGACAGACCAGTACTCGCCACCTTCGCCGTGTCCAGTCCGCTCTAATCCTCCTGTTCTACATGCATCTGCAAAAGTCTCCTCCTCTCTCCCGCCCCTCGCTCACCGCTCACTCAGACCTCTGCTCCGCTCCACACGGCAGTGATGTCAGGACTCCACCTAATGTCAGGACTCCGCCTAACGTCACTGGTTGCTAGACGCCAGTCAGGGCGGCCCTAGCGACCAGTTTACGGTAAATTAATTTTCATTCTGAGACAGAGCCTAGGGGGGCCTTATTTTCGGGGGGGATGCCTTATATTTCACTCAGAAGGAAACCTGTAAGTAGGTCTTATTTTCGGAGGATGTTTTATTTTCAGGGAAACACTGTAGCAAGTGACACCTTGAAAATAGAACCAGGTAGTATGGCAGCAGAGCCTACTTTCCTAACAACTCTTTTTGTATTACTTAAAACATTAATCCTTTACTTGTTTTAACTAAAGAAAAGAACATTTATTTGCATAAAACAGAAAAGTTAATCCCTTAAAATTTGAAATAAATACAAAGGAGCAAATATTGGCCAAATACGTTTCCCTCCTTTAAAAGATGGGAACTGGCATTGAAATTTGCTTCTTTATTTTTGGAAAATATAATGGGAACTTAGATTTTGGGTAAATGGGGAATATGTTCTAGAAAAGCCATTTCTGTTGAATCATCTTAGCTTTTTGTTTGTAATATACTTGGGTCATATCTCAAAGGCTAGATGAAATTAAAGCTTTCATTTTTAACTAATTGTTCACATTTAAAACATTTCCTAGAAAAGTAGATATAAGCGTGGATATTTTATATTTAGAGTACTATAAAAAACTAATTATAATATATGACATGAATAATTTAGTTTGTTCTACAGCAGAAATTATGTCCAGCTAATTTCAAGCAAGGTCAGTTACTATTCTTGATCTTTATTAACTCTCTATCTTTTCCCTGTCGGGCCTATTAATATGTTAACCAAGTTATCCAGTTTTTCCAAGAGTGTGCATGTTGTATTTGAGGGCAGGATCAAGATATAGGGATTCAGAGAAAAATATTTTAAATTAAGTGTGATTAGTGAATGTGCAGGTGTTTGTACAGCCTATGATACTGCATATAAATTAACATCTAGCGTTTGGTTCAGATGGAAATATTTTAGCTTTATATTTGTTAATTCTACGAATTTACTTTGCTGCAGGAGTGGAGTCAACATATCAATGGAGCAAGTCACAGTCGTCGATGCCAGCTGCTGCTTGAAATGTAGGAGTTTGAAATACCTTTAAAGCATCCTTAATCGTGAATTGGAAACTATCATTGATTGGTTTGGGGAAGTTGGTCAATTACTTGTAATATCCACATTTTTATTACTGCATACGCAATGTTTAGATCTGTGATCTTTATTGAAATATTAGATACAGTGATAGTGATACTTTTGTTACCTAATATTTCTAGTATAAATAAACACTGGTCTTTTTATACAAATTGAGATAATTTTTAATAAACTTAAGATAGCTTTTGATACATAGAGTATTTCAGTAAAAACACATGCTCTAAAAATATTGAATATACAAAGAAAGGGAAAGTTGATAGAAGTCACAAATTAGTTGTTAAACAAAAACTTTCAGGATGTATTATTTGGTTTTGACATACATTTGTTTCTGAGTTTAAACTAGAATAAAATTGATTTCATAGAGAATCTCCCTGCCAAAGCAGCATACATAATACTTATTGTTCATTAGTTTTGAAATTTTCAAATATGCCTACCTCTGTTGGGGCTGTCCTTTTTAGTGTGTTCTTGGTACTTATATAGAAGAAGCAAACCCTGTGTGGTTGGTCCTTATTTCCTTATATAAGCCCATATTTCTAATTCCTCATACAGCATTGATTCTATTTAAGACATAACAAATACAGGAAAAAAAGTCAACATTAATTACCTATATTTTCAAGCATTACAGAACAAATTTATTCTCATTCCTTTGGATTGATTTGTATTTTTGAAGTTTTTCTTTGGGAAATAACAATATATGGCATACTTTAAACTGTAATATTTTTAACACTTAGACTTTCATATAACTTTATTAATAAGTAACCTATTTTAAAGGCCAAACAAGGCTATTTTGTGAAAAGGACAGTTTTATTTTTAAGTTAATTTTCTGGTCTTTTTTAAGCTACCCAGAATGGAACCCTGACAATGATACAGGACACACAATGTAAGTTAAAAATTTTAAGCTATTGTTTGTAAAGGAGATCAATATAAGGAATTCAGGTTTAAAAAGTATCATTTTAATGAAGTCAGTTTATTTCTTTTAATTTTTCTGGTGTCTTTCATGTCTGTCATGTTAATAAAAAGTTTTTACTGCCCTAGCTGGTTTGGCTCAGTGGATAGAGTGTGGGCTTGTGGATTGAAGGGTCCTGGGTTCAGTTCCAGTACTGTGGGTGAATTTTCAGAAAATATTTTATACAGTAATTTTTATTGTATTATTATTAAGAATTCTCAAAAAAAAAGAATTCTCTTCATTGCTCCACACATAAGTGCTCCCAAAGATTAGAATCATAGTTATATGGGGGTTGTTTTAATAATGAATTTTAATTATTTCTGATGGACATCTTTATCATGCTTATTATATTTATGCCTTCACATTATATTACTAGGGGTGATCCCTTCATGTTGCAACAATCTACAAACCCAGCGCCAGGAATTTTGGGGCCTCCACCTCCCTCGTTTCATCTTGGGGGACCAGCAGTTGGACCAAGAGGAAATCTGGGTGATTATAAAATTAATGTTATTCCCTAAGAGTTTTACTATAAAAATAAATTGATTATGGGCAAAAGAAGACTCATTAAACTGTTATTAAAAAAAAATAACATTGCACGAAAAGACATGGTGCTCATATTTGTATTATCTTTTTATTGTTTGAAGTTTATTTTTCAATTGAAATAGCCTATTATAGCAAGTATATTTATTACAAGAATGAAAAAAGTACTTTTTCCCCCATAAAGGTGCTGGAAATGGGAACCTGCAAGGACCAAGACACATGCAAAAAGGCAGAGTGGTCAGTAACACAACTGTTGCTTTTACTGTAATTACTATTTTATGAATGTGATATACTAATTGAATGTGTCATAGTCCTTTCTGTTGAAAGACTGCTATAGTTTGAAAGCCATCAGGCTTTTCTATTGCTTTGATAAGAGTTCATCTTTAATGTGCTTATAGTTCAGAGGTCTCATCTTGATTCAGGGTCTTAACTTTCCTCTCCAGTAATGTTTATAGTATTCAATTTAAAACTGTTTTCTGAAACTTTGAGATCCTTTCTCACTGACATGTGATTTCCTGTATAGTTTTTAAATTCCCTAGAAGGTTATATGAGTTATATGATATTTTAAACTACAGGCTTGGTGTTTGAAATACGTGCATAGGTAAGGTTCCTAGGCCTGGCCAGCTATCAGAGCTATCTGTGGGTTGCTGTTTCCAGTTGCCTCCCTTTGTAGGGTGATGGGGTTGATGGGGGGGAAAGGGGAGAGAAGTTTGTTGGCACCCATCTTGGCTGCCTGAGGGCTGGGACAGCTCCTGCATTAAGCCTCTGCCCCCTGGTAGTTAGTGTGCATCATAGTGATGGGTTGATTTGCATATTGGACTTTTATATAGGATACTTAATCTGTTCTGGTTAACATTAGACTAGACTATAAAATTTGTATGCATAACTTATTTCATATTGCTTTTAAAGAGATTTATTGACTTGATTCTCTTTCGCATTGGATAGGAAACTAGCCGAGTTGTTCACATCATGGATTTCCAGCGAGGCAAAAACTTGAGATATCAATTATTACAGCTGGTGGAACCATTTGGAGTCATTTCAAATCATCTGATTTTAAACAAAATTAATGAGGTATGAGTATAAAATAAGTATAGTATTTATCATTAATATATTTCCTAAAGAGATTACTACATGGTTTTGTATTAGAAAACTAATTCAATGTAATCTCTTTTTCTTTAAAATATTTTTATTGATTTCATGCCGGGACCGGTTTGGCTCAATGGATAGAGCGTCGGCTTGGGGACTGAAGGGCCCCGGGTTCGATTCCTGTCAAGGGCATGTACCTTGGTTGCGGGCATATCCCCAGTGGGGGGTGTGCAAGAGGCAGCTGATCGATGACTCTCTCTCATCGATGTTTCTAACTCTCTCTCTCTCTCCCTTCCTCTCTGTACAAAAATCAATAAAATATATTTTTTTTAAAAAATTAAAAAAATATATTTTTATTGATTTCAGAGAAGAAGGGAGAGAGCAAGAGAGGTAGAAACATCAATGATGAGAGAGAAACTTGATTGGCTGCCTCCTGCACACCCACTACCGGGGATTGAGCCAGCAACCTGGGCATGTGCCCTTGACTGGAATCAAACCCAAGACTGTTCAGTCCACAGGCTGACACTATCTACTATTGACTCTATCCAGTTAGAGCTCAGTGTAATCTTAAATCATCAATATGGAATGAGGTTAATGAAAAGCCAATAGTTGAAGTATGTTAATATTTAAGTCAATGAATATCAATGTATTTTTTAAATAAAAGAACATTAATAAAATCATTTTTACCATAGTCTGTAATCAAGACAAGTTCTTACGGCATCTCATCAATGTTACAATGCAACATTATTCAAGGACCTGTTCTAATACTAAATTCTAGTATTAATATATAATTAGTGAGTTTATAAGTTTATGTTCTTGAGCAGTAAATTGTCATTATTAATCAAATTATTATAATGGCTGTAAATGGATAAATCTTTGGAAAGTCATTTAAAACTTTTACCAAAATCATGCGAGATCATTATTTCAAGTCCAGTAGGCATAAGTGATAGTTCTGTGCCATGAAGATAAAATCTGGGACAACCTTTAAAAACAAAGCAGCAAGCTAATAGTGTTAGTTTTTCTGATTTTAGATTCTTGAATGTATTTTTTATTTAATGATTAAATATGTCTGGAAAGATTTTGAACAATGTTTGAAATAGTTTTGTTTTTTATGTTTGCGATTTCAGGCATTTATTGAAATGGCAACCACAGAAGATGCTCAGGCTGCAGTGGATTATTATACAACCACACCAGCATTAGTATTTGGCAAGCCAGTGAGAGTCCATTTATCCCAGAAGTATAAAAGAATAAAGGTAAATACCTTTTTCTTTTTTTCAGATTTATATTGCCACTTGTTTATTATATCATTTGTTAACTTTAGCTACTTTAAATTGTTGCTAATAACTAGGATAATATTAACTAATAATTATAGTGTACCTACAAACATTTGAGATGCCATTTTCTCCTATTTATTAAATTAAAGAAACCAGAAGGGAAACCAGACCAGAAGTTTGATCAGAAGCAGGAGCTTGGTCGTGTGATACATCTCAGCAACTTACCTCATTCTGGCTATTCTGACAGTGCTGTACTTAAGCTTGCTGAGCCTTATGGGAAAATAAAGAATTATATACTGATGAGGATGAAAAGTCAGGTAATATACATTAGAGGTTTTGAAAAAGACTCTTCCTTAAAGTGCTTTAATATTTGTGTGTGTGTGCGTGTGTGTGTGTGTGTGTGTGTGTGTGTGTGTGTGTGTGTATCCTCAGCACGGGGAAGTAATTTTCTTTATCTTCTCAGATTAATTTTTTTAGTCACACAATGATACTTTCTTCTACATTGAAATAGATACATAAGATAAAGCATTGAGTAAAAGTGGAAAGTAAAGCTCTCTTTTGCTCAGGCTAGAAACAACTATTTGTGTCCAGGGTTTGCTTCCAAAAATCTTCCTATATGTAGGTATTCATTCTTCCTTTTTTTTTTTTTTTCCTCGTTACTTAAACTAGGATACTGCTATTTTCTACATTACACATGATTTTTTCTTTCTAATTTTGTTTGCTTATTTATTTGTTGAACTGATTGGTGTATCATCTGATATTTTTCTTAAAAAAAAAATTTTCTTGTTTCAGAGAGAGAAATAGAAACATTGATCGGCTGCCTCCTGCATATCTCCTACTGGGGATTGAGCCTGCAACCTGGGCATGCTCCCTGACCAGGAATCAAACCCAGCTACCTCCTGGGTATGGTGCTCAACCAACTGAGCCACAATGGCTGGGTTAATAGTTTCTTTCTTCCTCTTTTCCTCCCTTCCTCTGTCCCTTCCTTCCTTCCTTCCTTTCAATATATTTTATTAATTTTTTACAGAGGAGAAGGGAGAGGGGTAGAGAGTTAGAAACATCAATCAGCTGCCTCCTGCACACTTCTTACTGGGGATATGCCCACAACCAAGGTATATATGCCCTTGACTGGAATGAAACCTGGGGACTTTAAGTCCGCAGGCTGACACTATCCACTGAGCTAAACCATTTAGGGCAATAATTACTTTCTTTAATAGCATTCTGAGTTCATATCCTTTCAGACTTTTTAAATTATTTTTTTCTTATAGAATTTGATTAATATCTACTAAACTTATTACTTTAATTTTTTTTTTCTTCCCCCCAGGAAGCCTTTATATAGGTAGTTTTATATTTGGTCCTACTTTGAAATCTGACAATTGTCTCTATTTTATTGGGTGACTTAACTCTTACCAATGTCTCTGTGTGTGCTAAGACAAAATTTTCCTAACAAGTGCATAGAAAGAATAGTAAGCACCATATTTTATACAATTCTCTAAGAAATAATCTTTCTTACTTTTTAAGGCCTTTATTGAGATGGAGACCAGAGAAGATGCTATGGCAATGGTTGACCACTGTTTGAAAAAGGCCCTTTGGTTTCAGGGGAGATGTGTGAAAGTTGACCTGTCTGAAAAATACAAAAAATTGGTACTAAGGGTATGTTGTCCTTTATTTATCTTAAAAATGTAGAGTTAGTAATTGAAAAAAAGCAACCTCTTCTTTTTTTTTTTTTTCTGATCTTCCTTAGTAGCAGAAGTTTTCTATTTGGTGTTCTGTAAAAGCACCTGGATTCTTTGAACAAAGTTCTGCTACTAAAATGTTTATTAATCACTGATTGATTAGAACGTTGATTGTAAAAAATTGCTGACTAAAGTTACCTTAAATTCCTAGGTATATTCATAGGGATTGAATAAGCTTAGTTGATTATATGAAGGATGGTTATTATTTATTAATTAATTGGATGATTATGTATTCTGCATGTGAATGTTTTAATGTTAATTTAACACAAAATTTTGTCTTTTTAGATTCCTAACAGAGGCATTGACTTGCTGAAAAAAGATAAATCCCGGTAATTTCATTTTGTGTGTGTATGTGTCTAAATAAATAGTATATTAAACTATTGTTTTCTAACTCAGAATTAATTGATGTATATCTTTTTTATTTCAGTAAAAGATCTTATTCTCCAGATGGCAAAGAATCTCCAACCGATAAGAAATCCAAAACTGATGGTTCCCAGAAGACTGAAGGTACAACTGAAGGTAAAGAACAAGAAGAAAAGTCAGGTGAAGATGGTGAGAAAGATACAAAAGATGACCAGGCAGAACAAGAACCCAGCATGCTTCTAGAATCTGAAGATGAATTACTGGTAGACGAAGAAGAAGCAGCAGCACTACTAGAAAGTGGCAGTTCAGTGGGAGATGAGACAGATCTTGCTAATTTAGGTGATGTGACTTCTGATGGGAAAAAGGAACCTTCAGACAAAGCTGTGAAAAAAGATGGAAATGCGAGTGCTTCGGCTGCAAAGAAGAAGCTTAAAAAGGTAAAGGAAAATTGTATTGACCTGTTTTAATAGAAAACTAGAGCAGATAAATGTTTCAAATTATTTACCTTAGCAAGATCAGATTAAAGAGATAAAATCATTTATATTGGGAAAAATCAGGTGTGAACTATAATACAAGCATTTAAGTCTAAACTCTGCAATAATTGAATTAAATAGGACCTCTTAAAATTGCCCGAAAATATCAATGCAAAATGAGGACTTCTTAGTAATGAAGGGAAAAGACTTAAAACTATATATACTTCTACATTGTAAGTACTTTTAGGCAGCTGTATAGGTCAGTTTGATTTTTAAAAGATGGGATATGATTATGCAATAAATTAACTGACCAAAAGATGATTAAAACATTTCCCACTCATTAAAAAATTGTTGAGCTTCAAAACTCTTACTATATGAGAAATATAAGCTTGATCAGACATTTCAGTAACTTTTAAAATATTTTCTTAGAATAGATATTACAAATAGCATATAAGATGAACATAAAAATATATACATGATACTAAGAACAGTAAAGCAAAGACCCATGCATACTAAGGATTGGAGCATTAAAATGTTTTGAAGCCACTTTGGTTAAATAGTTCTTGAGCCCTGGCCAAGTAGCTCAGTTGGTTGGAGTAGTGTGGTCCTAAGGCCAAAGTTGCAGGTCAATCACCAGTCAGGGCACATAAGAAAGACTCAACCAATGAATACCTGAGTGGGACAACAAATCTATGTTTTTCTTCTTGCCTGCCCTCCCTCCTTCCCTCCCTCTCTTCTTTTTTTCTAAAAATCGACAAACATTTTTTATGTAATAAAAGGCTAATAGGCAAATCGACCAGACAATAAAAGTGCCAGTCGCTATGACCTGCACTAGTGGTCAGTGTGCTGCCACAGGGGGAGGCTGTTCAGCCAGAAGCCCTGAGTGCCCGGGCTGGCCAGCACAGCCATGGTGGCGGGGAGCAGGCCCAAGGTGTCAGTTGGAGGGCCTTCCGTCTGTGAGAGGGCTCACACCAGGCTGAGGGGACATCCCCACCCCTATCCCCGTGCAGAAATTGTGTGCACCAGGCCTATATTTTTGTTTGTTTGTTTGTTTTTATATTTTATTGATTTTTTTTTTTACAGAGAGGAAAAGAGAGGGATAGAGAGTTAGAAACATCGATGAGAGAGAATCATTGGTCAGCTGCCTCTTGCAAACCCCCTACTGGGGATGTGCCCGCTACCAAGGTACATGCCCTTGACCGGAATTGAACCTGGGACCTTTCAGTCCCTGCCGACACTCTGCTCTATCCACTGAGCCAAACCGGTTTTTGGCGGGCCTATAGTTTTTTAAAGGGTTTTAAAATGAGATTTTTGTATTCCTGTTCTGTGGTTTCTTTCTAAACATTCAACTATTAGAAATTTTTGTGTTGTTAATCCTCACCTTAGGATATTTTTCCATTTATTTTTAGGAAGAGCTGGAAAAGAGAAGGTTAGATAGAAATATCAATGTTAGAGAAACACATCAATTGGTTGTGTCCTGTACTAGCCCTTGAGCAGAATCGAACCTGTGACTCACCCACTGAGCCAAACCAGCTAGGACAAACTATTAGAAATTTTTACCTCTCGCCTCTTAAAGAGCTTGTGATTATTGAGCATTTATTGCATCCTATAAAATTTTCTAAGCTCTTTGTATATGTTATTTAACTTAATCCTCACAGTAACCATATACAACAGATGCTTTTATCATTATCCCTTTCTCATGAATGAGGAAATTGAGGCATGGAAAAGTTCATTAGTTGTCCATGATGATATTGCTAATAAGAGGTCAAGCCAAAATTTAAGCCTTAGGCCATCATGCTCCAGAGCTTGATTTTTTTATTTTTTATTTTTTTAACTGCTACACTGTTTTAGACTGGATATTCTCTAAAAAACAGTTGTGTCGCCAGATACTATTTTCCAAAGGATATCATTAAGTTATTTATAATTAATTAGTTATTTGATATACTAGAGGCCCACTGCACAAAATTTATGCATAGATAGGGTTCCCTAGGCCTGGTCTGCAATCACTGCCAATCTGGGTCTTCCTGCTGCCAGCCCCAGCCTGGGCCTCCCTTTGTTCTGCACTGCCTTCTGGTGGTCAAGGCATGTCATAGCAATTGAGCTCCCAGTTTGCATAGAGAGAGAGAGAGAGAGAGAGAGAGAGAGACACACACACACTCACACACACCCTAGAAGTATAAGTCTCCAAATGCTTAGAATATTAATAGCCTCATATTTATTTTTTTGCTTTCCATATAAGGCAAGCCTTCAATTATTTAGTTTTAAAACAAGCTACGTTTTTTATGTTTTGGTTTTTTTGTTTTGTTTCAAGCTACGTTTTTTAAAATCAGTGATTTTTAGGGGGGGAAAGTCAGTATTTTGAGAGAATGAATAAAGACAAAAGACGCTATCCCTCTCCCTTTAAGTAAAGCAAATGGAACGGATGCTGCAGGATAATTGTTGCAGAGTAAATTTGTCTTTCTTAACAGCGTCGTTTCCCAGGGAATATGGAAGGTTTTGTCACTCTAGATGAGGTTGGTGATGAGGAAGATTCGGAACTTCAGAAACTTCATAAATCGGGCATGGCATTTAAATCTAGTGACAAAAATGATGATGGTTTGGTTGAAATTAAGGTGGACAAGATCGAGGAACTTGATCAAGAAAATGAAGCAGCGTTGGAAAATGGGATTAAAAATGAGGAAAATACGGAACCAGGTGCTGAATCTGCTGAGAACGCTGATGATCCCAACAAAGATACAAATGAGAATGCAGATGGCCAAAGTGATGAAAACAAGGAGGACTATACAATCCCAGATGAGTATAGAATTGGACCATATCAACCCAATGTTCCTGTTGGTGAGATTTAAGGTTTTCTTCTTCCCCTCTCACCCTTCCCATACTCTTAAATAAGATTTTTAAATTGGTCTTACATAAGCTCTGATAGCATTTTAAATTTCTGTATAGAACAATTTGTTAATCATAATTGATATATTTTTTTTTCTTACACAAGTCTCCTGATTTTATATTATCTTTTGTTATCCTTACAGAAATGTATTCTTTTCTCAAAGCTTTCTAAGAATTCCACCTTGCTTTTTGTTTTGTTTACCTGTTATGTTTCTGCCTTTTATTTAAGAGTATGATTAAGTGGGACCTTGAACATCAATTAAATACAACTCAATTAATGTCATTTTGTTGTTGTTGGATTTTGTTTTAGCTTAGGCAATATTGGACTTCTCACATAAAAATAACATTTGAGAACACCAAATTACTCAGTTTACTGAATTTGTAAGAATATATGTTTGTGTTCTAGGTATAGACTATGTGATACCTAAAACAGGGTTTTACTGTAAGCTGTGTTCACTCTTTTATACAAATGAAGAAGTTGCAAAGAATACTCATTGCAGCAGCCTTCCTCATTATCAGAAATTAAAGGTAAGGCTAACACTGAAAGAGGACAGTTCTTTTGTGAAAACAAATCATGTAAGTTTATGGAAAGTAAAACATGTATAGTACCCTCTGTGGACTCCTTCTTTCCTTATTGATGGGCCATAAGCATTTTAATTCTAGACACATCTATTCTGCCTCTTTCTATAGGATCTTCTAATTAAGGGATAATTTAGTAATTTCTAACCATGTTAAAAAAAAAACTTATAATGAAATTAAATCTATTTTTAAGTATTCTCAAATGGATGCTGGACTGCAATTTGTCTAATTTGGAAAATACTGGAAGCCTGAAGACCAAGTGACATAAAGCCTTTTCAGCTTTATAAAATACTGTGTCCTATCATATTTAATGATTTTTACATTGACTTTATTATTTACTAATAATGACACTCTTCAGTAAGTTTTATGATTAACAGGATACAAAGTTAAAGGGGTGAATGAATAGGGCAAAAAATAGCAATCCAATATTACAAATATTAGTACATATGTCTCCTTTTTTTCCCCACATTGACTTCCCCCAGCCTTTCCTATCCCCCAGCACATGACCTCACACCCTATTCCCAGTGTCTTGCATCCATTGGTTATGCTTAATACAAACCCTTCGTTTTATCTCTTAAAGTGGGTATTTCAGTTAGTGGCTTCTTTAAGGACTGAGCAATGAAATGGATAAGGGGGGGAGGCCCTAAAAGTAGAGAAGTTAAGCACTCGTAATTGTAGGTAACTGTTCTATAGCACAAAACTACAAGAGTAGTCAGCCAGCATGTTCTATGCATTGACGAGGATAACATTGTATTCAGGAAATCTTGTTTTCGACAGTATCACATGTTTTAAATGTATTCTTTGCTGTGAGTATTTTATATGTATCTTAAGGATATGAAAAAAGAACGGTGATTATTTTCAACAGTGCTTAATAAATTTATATATATTTATAAATAAAAACATAAATTAGAAAGTATACATCTTTCTAATAACTTACTTTGTTCAAAATATTAAGCTGTTTGATGGCAGAAACTATATTACCTAGAGATATAGAAATATAAAAGTGGTCTCTGGATATGTAACACTTTTTAAAGAATATCATGCTTTCTAATATTTTCTAGCTATTCTAATTTTCTAGATATTCTATAGGAGGTGACTCTCTTATTTCCTATTTTAAATGAATTTCTTCAACAAATTGTTGTTTCTCCTTTTCATCTCTCCCTCTCAAATTTTAAAAGTAAGAATAAAGAATACTTTAAAAAAATATTATGTAATATCGATACAATATCTGCTAACGATAAATTACTTTGTTTATGTAAAATTGTTTATGGCTACTTGTATTATTGAAATGGCAGAATTGAATAGTTGAAATAAAGACCAAATGGTTCACAGACTACAAAATTTGCTGCTAGCCTTTTAAGAAAAGGCTGCCCACTTGGTTTACTGGAAGGAGACTTTAAATAAATTCGTGTCATTTTAACTAATCTATGCTCTTGAACTGATAGATTTTCTTATCTTCATAAATTAATGTTAATTGCACATTGAAATGATTGTCTTTCACATTTCACTATTTTTCCCCCTATGCCTTATTGTAGTGTCCTGAACCATTTTAGTTTTGTACACTAATAGGAATCTTTAAAATAGTGATAAGCTTATAGGTTAAATTACACTCAAATCCCCAAATCTGTATAGACTGTTTTATTTTGGAGTTAATTAATTTGTGTTTCTCTTAAGTAATTCAACACCTTTATATTTTTTTCCCCAGAAATTTCTGAATAAATTGGCAGAAGAACGCAGACAGAAAAAAGAAGCTTAAGATGTGCAAGAAGCTTAACGATTTCAAGGAAAATAATAGTTCTTCGTTTTTAATGTTAACCTTTTTTAAATACAATATTGATAGTTAGAAGAAAACTATTGTACTCTTTTGTTTAGTGGAAAAATAATAGATGTCTGTTCTTGTGTTAAGTGTTATAGCAAAAACACATACGGTTAAATTAATGAAGAATTTTTGTTTTATCAGAATGGTAACAGACAAATACTTTGTAGAGACTTACTTCGTAAGCTACTTGAGACAACTTGCACCACTAAAAAAATGACACGTAGAACTATTCAAAGAAATGAAATTTAGTAGTTCTAAGCTTCAAAGAAATGTCAAAACTTTTGATTCCATTCAATAAAGAACAAAACCAGTTGTATTTTTATTACTTTTCATCTGAAACATTCCACCTTTTAATCTGAGCCTTGCAGACTTTTCATTTGGAGTTTGAAGCTTTTTTTTTATTTTATTAATGCATTTCATTTTTTGGTAACTTTATTAACTGAAGTTAGCAATTAAAATACAGGTGCAGTTTTCTTTTAATGTTATGCAGTTTAGGTAATAAGAAATATTAAGTAACTGGCTTTAGATTTTGTAATTTCCCCCCCTAAGTTTCTGCTAGATTTCGTATTCTAGTAGTCAATGTATTTTCAGTGAAATGTAAAAATATCCTCATTCTCTTTGACCAGTATTAATTTCTATAGACTTTATTGCTTGTCACTTGAATCCTGTAGCTGTCATACACCTGGTATAAGCAACATTTGATTTTTGAAGTGTGTAAACCATCTTTTCCTATTTTTAAGATGTAATTTTACATTTCTGCATTTAAAAAGTTTGGCCATAATCTAAACGCACGCTTCTAATCCATGTACTTGCACATGTGACTTTTGTGAACAGAAATTTGCATGTATTATCTGTGTTTACTTGTAACTTTCTGGTTATATACTGCTTATATCTGTGGATTCAAGTTTCTGAGGTGAAATACCAATAAAAACTTAGGTCATGTTCATTGGTTATACATGTTTGAAATGTTAACCAATATAATTTGTCAGTTGTGGTTTTTATTTGCTATTACACTTTCTTGCATGTTTTAACAAATTACTACATTTTAAATCTAAAGAGTGCTACTAAAGATCTGAGTTTTAAAGTTTTGGTGCTAGTGGATTTCTTGTTCCTGTTACATATCCAAAAAATGGGGCTGTTTGTGGGTTTTTAAAATCTTGGGAGTGAGTTTAAAATGCTAAAGACAAGAAATAGCAAACACTAGCAAACACTGGTGTTCAGACATGCCCTATTTAATAGTCTATTTGGAAATAACATATAATAACAAGAATTAGTCTAGCAGCCTCTTAAAATATGTTAGGATTCTTGGTTTTCAAGATTATCTGTTCTCTTTTTTTTTTAATTTAAAAAACAAATAATTTACAAATTATTTTTGAAACACTTATATCCAGGTGTATCAAATAGTTGGATACAATTTTATGGTCTGTCTTTGAAGGTCAGATGATCATTTTTTAATGTAACATGCACACAAAAAATCCTTGCCAGTTTGTGCAGTTTAATTTTGGCCTTTACTAACTACCCAATTTTATTTAATCCTGACTTTTAACTAACAGCAACAACACAAAGTTTTATGTGTTCAACAGCATTCCTAATTGTTTTGTCAATAATAGCTTTTTTCCCAGAGGTCCTACTTTGTCAGTGTACCAAGTTACAGAAAAGAACGTTTAGTATTTTTGTAGTATTTAGAAAGCAGAACATCTCATTAACTGATAGTGATAAATAAACCTTAACAGCTATTTCTCAGATTATAGCAAGCCTTTATTTAGCAGTGTTTCTACTCAAACTTGCTGTAAAGTTTAAAAACATTTTTTCCACCTCAATTTTAGTCTTTGGTTTAATCTTAAGTTAATTCTTTTGAGGGAAACTCTTGGGAGCACCTATTGTGGTAGGTGTTACTAAGGTTGTAAAACAGGAAGAATACACAAATTTTAATCTGGCTTTGTCTACAGTTGATTTTTGGTGTCTTTAAACAAAATAGGTTCTTGGTGTGTAGTAGAAATCTGCAGGAACACTGCAGGGTAGTTTTTTTGTTTTTGTTTTTTGTTTTTAATCAAATTAATATTTGGAGTCTAGTCTATTTAAGAAAATTTACAGTAGTGTGCAGAGGATTTCTGTACTTTCCTTTATTGATCTCCATTGAATATAGCTGAAAACTCATGGATTGGGTGGAAAGTGCCCCTTCAGCTCTGGGTCCTATCCTATGAATGTTGGGTAAGGCTGAGTGTTTTGTTTTTTTTCTTCTTGTTTTTTATTGATTAAGGTATTAACATATATGGAGACTTTTTTCTTTATACTATGCTAGTGGTTCTCTATAGTAGTGCATCAGAATTACCTGGACACTGTTGAAACATTACTGAGTCCTGCTCCTAGAATTTCTAATACGTTAGGTTTCAGTTGGGTCTCAACTTACATTTTTAACAAGTTATGGATGATGATGATGTCAAGTATAGAGGTCACACTTTTGAGGAAATTGCTTTACCTGTAGCTGAAGTGCTGCGTTTCATTTTTTAATGTTTTTATTGATTTTTTTTTTAGAGGAAGGGAGAAACATTGATCATTTGCCTCCCATATGTACCTTATCGGGGATTAATAATTTACAGCCACCTCACTGGGAATTGAAAAGCGGACCTTTTAGTGCATAGAAAGACACTCAACCAATTGAGCCATACCAGTCGGGGCAAGAAGTGTTTTTTCAGAGGTAATTGCAGTGAGATATCTGGTGTAGATACTATTTCTTGAAAGAACTGGTTTTGCTACTGCTTCATACATAAAACCGTGTTACTGGGTCCCATGTGTCACAGTCTCTGGAAAGTTACTCTCAAAAGAATAATGTACTTAAGAGGTAATTAAGGGTACTTAAAATGCTCTCTTAAGGAGGTAATTAAGGGTACTTGAAAATGCTCTATTCAAAGGAAGGAATATTCTCATTGCAGTGTGAATTTTAGGGAGTAATTTTCTCCCTATATTTGCTTTCCAATTAGTTACTCCCTAAAATTCACCCTGAAAATCTGCGTGACTCTTCCCTCCTGCCCAATTAAATATGCAGATTATCTTTTTTTTTTTTTTTTAAGTATTAGGTAAATGAAGATGTAGGTACCGAATTACTTGAGATATAGGGAAAATTCTGAATGAGAAGACTCGGGTAATATGATTCATGTGAATTTACCTTAAAGTTTTTAGCCCTTTTTTTGAACTTGAGTTCTTAAGTTTTATCATTATAGCATTGAAGAGCTCAAAAAGCCAGGTATACAGTAGGTAATATGAAAAGGTAAAAGAGCATGGTACACAAAAGTCAACACTCCCGCTCCGATAGTAGGACATCCGTAATATTTTTAAATCGTGGGTGCTGAGAAGTATAAGTCTGTGGAAAATCTCTGCATTCTTATTTTGTTGGAAAGGGATAGCAGTTTAAATGATTGGTGTGTGGGATGGTGAAATTATTCATACCTCCTAATTCATTTTGTTGATGACGTTGCTACTTAAGCTCACAAGCACCAAGTGTTTTTCAGACCCATGTTTTTCACTTTTTTTTTTTTAAGAGTGGAAGGGAGAGGGATAGATAAAAACATTCATCACCTGCCTCCTGTGCACCCCCTATTGGGGACTGAGCCCTCAATCCGTTCATGTGCCCTGACTGAGAATCTTTCTTGGTTCATTTACCAACTTAACTGTTGAGCAACACTAGCCAGGCAGACCCATATTTTTAAAAACATTATTGATTTCAGAGAGGAAGGGGGAGAGAGAGAAACATCAATGATGAGAAAATCGCCAATCACATGCCCCACATTGGGGGATCTAGTCCACACCCCAGGCATGTGTCCCTGACTGGAATTGAACTTGGGCCCCTTCAGACCACAGGCAGATAGATGCTCATGCACTGAGCCAAACTGGCTAGGACAGACCTATACCATTTTAAGGAGCAGCGAAGCTTCCCAAAACCAGCAGCAGGGAAGGCTTGGCTTATGCTGGAAAAAAGGAATTGCCTCTGCCCTCCAGTACTCCACACATGTAGGCAGACATCATCCTTCTGCTAAAACCTTTATCAAAACAGAGTTTGTTTTTTTTATACAAGTAAAATTTCTCAGCCATTTTTAAGTGGTAATATAGTTATACTGTACAATCATCACATCCCCATAACTTCATCTTATAATACTATGCACATTAAACTGACCATTCCAGCTATTACCCAATCATCATTGCAAGTTGTCAATGATTTTTACTACCTCATGTAAGTGGACTCCCAAGTGTCTTGTGGCATTTCACTTAAGGTGATGTAGTATACTGCAGAGTTTTCATTCTTAAAGGTTGAATAATACTCCATTGTATGTATATACTGCATTTTGCTATCTCCTCACCGAAATTGTCAACATTCAGAACAGCAGACTATTGCTTCCATGCACAGTGCTTGGCTCTTACTCAAGACTCGGTAATGCTGCAGTGTACATTTTCTACATGATATAAGTGAGCATGGAGACAAGGCTATTACCAGGCTATAGAAATTTGTCAGACTTCATTTCAGGTGTTGTTCTCTTGTTTAACAAGTTCAAGCTTTCATAGAGATTCAGACAAAAAGATACACAGGAGACAGTAAATCCTTCAAAATCTGACCACCTATCCCATATAATAAAAGGCTAATATGCAAATTGTCCCCTCTGGAGTTCTACTAACCCCAGAGGCTGACCACCAGGGGGCAGCATAGAATGAAGGCATTCCCCAATCAGCCCTAATCACTAGCCAGGCCTAGAGACCCTACCAGTTCATTAATTTCATGCACTGGGCCTCTAGTATAGAGATACTATTTTATCTCATATTTGCACTTATATATGCCTATACTTTTAGAAAATTATAAATGCTGTTTTGTAACCTGCTTTGGGGGAAATTATGGGTATTCCACATCAATGAGTATGCATCTTTCTAATAACTTCAAAATATTTTGATTCCCTATTGGTAGATTTTTTAGTTTTATTATACATAGATATGAATATATGCTTAACATCAAACCCATATGTGGAGTGTTTCAGTCAGATTATCTACATACAAGGGTATAAAAGGTTAATAATGAATAATGCAGAATAAAAGGCTAATAAACAAATTGACCAAACAGTGGAATGACCAGTTGCTATGATGCACGCTGACCACCATGGGACAGACATTCTACACAGGAGCTGCCCCCTGGTGGTCTGCACTCCCACAGGGGAGCAAGGCTCAGCCAGAAGCCAGGTTCGCAGCTGGTGAGAGTTGGGAAGGTAGTAGGAGACTCCTGCCTCAGCAGCAGCACTAAGGATGGCGGACTGATGGCTTAGGCCCACTCCTGTGGGGGTGGCCTGGACATCCCCAAGGGCTCCCAGGTTGCAAGAGGGCGCAGGCCAGGCTGAGACTCGCACACATACCAGTGCACATACTTTGTGCACCAGGCCTCTAGTATAATATAAATTTATGTGACCTCACAACTATAAACTGACTTTTGCCCATCCCTGTATATGATTAAAAAAAAAATCTGCAGGAAGGCGAGTCTAAATCCTTGTGTCTTTTCAAGGATTTCTTCAATCCCTAGCTTCCTTGTTCACTGCATCCCATCATTCTTGAAAGAGGAGAGTGTATGGTCAATGTGGGGTTGGGCGGAACTCCACTCGAGTATATCCCAGTTTACCCCGCGGCCGCCTGGGTACAACGGAAAGGCCGTTGCGCATGCACACAGGAGCCACCTGGGAGATGAGAACTTTGAGGCTGAGCGTTCTATCGCGCGCTCTCTAGTGGCCACGGAGGGCAGCGCTGACAGGACGAGGGGGCGGAGCCCAGGGCGGCGGAAGTTAAGTCACTTCCGGGCTGGGTGTTTGTTTGGACTGGAGAAGGGAGGCGACGGGCGAAGCGCGCGTCGAGCGGGGTAGCGGCGCTGCCTGTGGAGATCCGCGGAGGCCGACCGGATTCGTTGGCTGCCGTCCCCGCTGCCGTGCACTGGGTGAGTGATTCCCTCGA